CTTTCCTTTTATTTAGTGGCAAGGTAGGAGTCGTAGCAACAGGATTTTGTTCTTTCCTCATCAATCAGCCAAATTTTTCATCAATAAAGTAATGCCCAGGAACTCTCAGTTAAATGAGGCATTTGTGTAGATCAAATGTTACAGACAGTGGCCGACCAACCTCTGGTGGAGAGATCATCAGTTACTAGACTAGGATGGGAGCTCACATTTCATTATTTAACTATGAGAAACAATACTTAACACAGATGTCTTCAAAATTTATAGAACTCTCCAGAAAAACAAGTGACTTTTAAAAACAGATTTTTTTTTTCTGAAATAGCATCAAGATTTTCCTGGCTTCAGCAGTCATGCAGGAACCAACTCTTACTACAGTGTGTCTGGAACCAAAAGCAATCATTCCACAACTCCCACAAGTCCAGTGACCTTCCCATCATGCCTATTAAGGAGCAACACAGGAGGGGAGGGGAAGGAGAAACTGCTTTGTCGCTCTGGCGTCACTCCAGGCAACTGACATGAGCCATGTTGTGGTCACCAGGGCGTGTGTGTGACATATTCTGTGTTCCCAGGCCACCCAAGCCCGGGAAGTATGGAATGACCGTGTAAACATTTGCAGCTAATTCCATTTCAGAGCTGGCCCATCTACTTAAACAGGCCTAAAGTTGTGATTTGCTCAATTCCTGGGGAGAACTCAAAGCAGCCCACAACTTTGATAAACAGTTCACGGCTGTGTTAAAGATGGCCTTGGTCTGTGCTAGCCTGGATTAGCTCCTTGCATCGTATAGTCACTACAGGACTGATTCATTTGCCTTCTGGTCTATGTATCTATGTACATGTGCCCAAACTGATAAGACACCACTTGCAGTTTTTGGCTATCAAATGCAGTTTTTCTACATAGGGTTTTGTGGGTAGTGATAGGCAAGGGACCCTAAGTGGCATGTTCTTGTGGCACTTTAGATTCTTGAGATGATACAGCTCAGAAACATTTTCTTTTGGAGGAGGCAGATTACAAAATGGGGCCTTCACAAGCTACCTACACACCATAGGACGTACTTTCCTGAATCTTTCTCTAAAGGCAGCAATGGAGGAAAATGCCTAAGAGCAATAAATCCTTAACTTTACAGTGGTAAGGCTTTCTGTGTTAACAAAAAGCCTAAGGAAGTCCTTACATGGTCCTATGTAAAGGGTAAAACACAAAAATGCAGAATCAATGGGAAGGACTAACTGTAGGGCAGGAATGGACCGCAAGGAACAGGGAAGCACTTGGGAGCAGATCACATTTCTAATATTAGGAAAACCCAGGCTAGAAGTTTATGAATTTTCAAAAGAGGAATCACAAAGGCCATCAGGAAGAATTAACTTATTCAAAAATGTGAGAGTGTGGGGATTTTTTTCCTATGTTAGGAGCGGCCTGAGAAACTGCAAGTTGTTTATGGTGTGAGAATTGGCCATCTGCAATGATGTTGCCCAGGGGATGCCCGGATGTGAGATGCTGGAGCTGACAGAAGGAGCTCACCCCGCTCCCAAATTTGAACCACTGGGGGCTCCAGGAGCCCCCAGTGGCGCAATGGGTTAAACCCTTGTGCTGGCAGGAACGGTCGACCGACAGGTCGGCAGTTTGAAACCAGACAATGGGGTCAGCTCCCGTCTGTCGAGCTCTAGCTTCTCATAACTGGGCGTCCCCTGGGCAACATCCTTACAGACGGGCAATTCTCTCACACCATAAGCAATTTGCAGTTTCTCAAGCCAACCATGACAGAAGCCTCGCACAGGATGGTACGACATCAATCATCCCAATGGCCCCTGGGCAACTTCCTTGCAGATGGCCAATCTTCTCATACCAGAAACGACTTGCCATTTCGCAAATCACTTCTGACACGGAAAAAACAAAAAACGGGAGCTCTGTTATGGGTGTGGAGATGATCTGTACAGTATAATATATTGCTGACCTAGACAGTGTCCGACTTTGCAAGTCAGGCTTTGTGTTCATTTGGCTTTAAGGAAATTTAAGTAAGATTATATTATTTGTAATGAACAGGTGAAAGACAAGGGTCTGGCTATTGCTCCACTTCACCCAGACGTCAGATTAGGAAATTTAGAAACAACTATGTATCCAGATGGGCAGGAACAACTGGTGGAGCTACACAAGTCATTTGTTTAATAGCAACATGGTGGAGTTAGGCATGTTACTCAGGAGAATTACATTCCTTTAGCCATGGATTACAGATTCGAAAACACTGTATGACGTATCAAACTTGCAATGTGTGATATAAAATGTTCAGCTATTATCTGTACATCAGGCAAGGTCTGATGGAAACATGTTAAGAAGAAGCACTGAATATATATATATATATATATATATATATATATATATATATATATATAGAGAGAGAGAGAGAGAGAGAGAGAGAGAGAGAAGAAAAATAATTAATTTAAACAACCATATTTAATTCACTCCCATTTATTGCAGTGATCCCGCCCCAATACAGAGTAGAAACTGCAATACTCAGTTGTTAAAACATTAGAAAAGCCATTGTGTGTGACAGTTACAGTACAATATTATCAAAATATGACATATTTTCAAACTGTGGATAGTACCAACCAAAGCTCAATCCTTAAATTAAGACCATAATTCATTTTTAAATAAACAGAAAACCATATAAAAAGAATTACGTAAAAAGGAAATCCTAATACAAACATAATGAAGCAATAAATAAGTTGATTTGTTCTGCTACTAAAATCTAATTTCAGAAAATAAAGTTTTATCTACAGAAACGGTATTGCTGAGCATCAATAGAAAATAATCATTTCAAGTCATTACTGATTGGAACTTAAAATATGGCGCCAAAAGAAAACGTTTAATTTAAACTGAAAATAAAGTTGGAATGGCTAGATTACAAACTTGCCTTTTGGTAACAAGGTACAATTGATGTTTATTGGAGTGTTAGACCATTAAAGATTACATTTTACATTTGTTGATTTGGTGTCTGTGTTTATGGTTGTGAAGTATTGAAAATTCTCATGTGAGAAAAAAAAACCTTTATTAATTCACAGACATTTTGCTACCATCAATATATATGCATATTTAGATGATTTGCTATTTTATACACATTTCACATGTAAAAGATACTTTCCATTTGGTTCCTTATACAGATCAAAAGCAATGGTTTTCCTCAATGGGCAGAATTTTGAATAAGTGTACCTGTGCACTTGTCTCGATAGCAGCATTAAGTCCATGCCCTATTGTTACTGAACATTAAACAAAAATGGAAATCCAGATTCACTGAATCATTTTGTTTCCTATCACCACACCAACAAACACTGCAAACGTGCAATAACCAATGCTTTTAGTTACACACTGGGAATGTTTGGTTTGTTTGGCTTTGTTTCAGAAAAAAAAAATCAAGTTTCTTGTAACTTCTAATTTCTTTCGAAAACTAGATACTGGCATTGATTTACTCTACCTGGCAGCCAACTTGTATTGCACTTCTGAAAAAGAGAGAACAGTCAACATTGGTAAGACAATGCAAATAACAATTTACTGGAATGCAAATCACTAAACAAAAGAACTGCCTTCTTTCTCTCAGGAACTGGGGCTGCCAATGGAACTGTTTGCTCCTTTACTTTGATCTTGTCTAGCTGAAAGACTTGTGTTTTTCTGTCCTGTTTCTTCACTGACAAAACACTGGAATTGTAAATGTTCTGTCTTGTATGCTGCCTGCCAAGAGGCAGAAGAATATTTTTAGGCAACTCTTACAGATATTAGGCATAAATGCTATGACTAACTAAGTCAGTGGTTCTCAACCTGTGGGTTCCCAAGTGTTTTGGCCTATAACTTCCAGAAATCTCAGCCAGTTCACCAGCTGTTAGATTTCTGGGAGTTGAAGACCCAAATAACTGGGGACCCACAGGTTGAGAGCCACTGAACTAAGTGAACTTTTCAATAAGTATTTCACAGAGTAAAAAAAATAAAATAAAATAAAGCTGTCAACACACGAGTGTGCAAAGAGGGCACACAAATTGGCAGTTCTTGGATCCACAAGGAGTCATATACAAATTAAAATGTAAAGGTCAGGAGAATTAAACCTGAGTATTTAACAAGACTAAACATAGATTCTGACAAAGGAATCAGTTGCCTTCAGACGCCTCTAATACAATGTGGTCCGTATAAGTAGGTGAACAAAACTGTCAACTTAGAAGGTCCTTAAGTATCCTGTAAGATTGCATCCCATTTAATAGCTGGGATATTTACAGAATCCTGTAACAGAACTGCAGCTTCTCAGTGGAGCCGCAGGATGAAAAACTGGCCTACTAACCTTCGGCCAAAGTAGTGAAAATGGGGGAAAAAATAGGATGGAATCTGAGAAAATTACTCTCTCTTAATTAGTATACTTCATCTTTATTCAGCGGTACAAATGGAAGAGTACAAAGTCCTAGATATTAACACCATGAACTTGGTTTTCATTACAGCCAACCTGCCCCATTTACCTTTTTCATATACAACAGATTTCTTTAAAAAACAGAAACAAAATAAGAAACGCACACACACCATTCCAAACAATAGGAAACATAGAACAGTAAAAACTAATACCTTGATGGAAGACCAGAATGCAGCATTGTTTAAAAAACTGTAAGATGGAAGAGTAGAAATTAAAGGAAGTTTGATCTAAAGTTTCAGCCAATGGCAGACTGACGTTCTGTATAAATTTACAAAATAGGGAATATGGATGAAATTTGGTTAACTTCAGAAGGCACCTCAAGGCTAAAAGGCTTTTATAAATCTATAATCCTGTCATTGATCAAAAATAAACACTTTTATTGCTGCTGCTCAAGTAGCAAAGAAAATCCTGTTCATTCATTCATTCTTCAGTCTACCAGGGAATCCTTTCCCATTAAGCAAGATTAAATTACAGAGGAATTAGAAGAAAACTGAAGCTTTCACAACTTTAGGAGCAGAGTGACTGTCCTTGTGTGCTTTCAAGTCAGTGGAATAGTGAATCACTTTTCGCCTGTGTGTGATGTTAATATTTCAGCCAGACATCTGAGTCTCTCCCCTTTAGGCACTGAAGTACCATTTCATCACAGCTGCAAGTCCTGCGGCCGTGTTTAGGAATAGAAAGTAAGAACACTCTGGTGATTTCCACGGACGAGGAGAACCGGGGGCAGATCTTTTGAGAGCGCCTCGATCCAGGCCATGTAGAGCGCGCTCGAGACTGCACTCTTCCGTGCAACTGGCAAACTCCTGTCAACAAGACAAATGGAGGCACCATCAGTTAGCAGGCCTTGATTCATTAATGCAAAACATCTATTAATTACAGGGAAAAGAATCATTTGCTGGTTTGCTGCGTAGATCACTTGGACTTCAAATTCTATGTAGCACTGCACAATATTTAGCAGCAGTTATGGGTTTGATCCTACAAAAATATTCAGAAGTGAAGTCTACAGAACTCAGTGGGGCCTACGTTCAAAGAGGCATGCACATATAATGACTATCAATTATACTCTTAAGCTGCATCTATACTTTTTTTTATTTACTTTGTTTTACATCTCGTCCTTTCTCCTTCACTGAGGGACTCAGAGTAACTAATATATAGCACAATTCAATGCCGTTCAACAATCTAACTGACATTCAAACACATAAAATAGTACATATAAAATCTATAATGCTCATCTAACAACAACACTACATGGTAAAACATTATAAAACTAACTGTAATTAAAATTCAAAATAGCTTCCATCTAATTGCCATTTTTCACATCCATTGCACTTAACCTGGTTAACCATTATCATCTTCAAACACTTCCCTCCACAGAAAAGTTTTTTCTGCTTTCTAAAGGGTAACAGGGAGGGCGCCATTCTGATGCCTCTCAGGAAGGAGTTCCAGAGCCAAGGAGCCACTGTTGAGAAGGCCCTCTCCCTCAATCCCACCAGTATCACCTGTGATGGGGATGAGACCAAGAGTAGGGACTCCCCCTGCCAATCGTACGGCTTGGGCTGTTCATATCCGGATATGCAGTTGGATAGATAGGTTGGGCTTGGACCATTCAGGGCTTTAAAGGTCAAAACCAGCACCCTGAATTGCGCCCGGAAGCTCACTGGTAGCCAGTGGAGCTGCCATAACAAGGGGGTTGTTTGCTCCCTGTACGGTGCTCCACTGAGCAATCTGGCTGCAGATATTTGGACTAGCTGCAACTTTCTGAATGGTCTTCAAGGGCAGCCCTATGTAAAGCATATTACAGTAATCCAGTTTGGATGTGACAAGGCATGGACCACCATAGTCAGATCTGACTTCTCAATGTATGGGCGCAGCTGGCGCACAAGTTTTAATTTTGTGAAGGCTCCCCTGGGTGTTCTTCAGGGTCAGTGATGAGTCCAGAAGAACACCCAAACTGTGAGCTTGTGTCTTCAGAGGGAGTGTTACCCCATCTAACACAGACTGTAACCCTATACCCTGGTCGGCCTTCCGATTGGCTACGAGGACCTCTGTCTTTTCAGGATTGAGTTTCAGTTTGTTCGCCCTCATCCAGTCCTTTACTGCCATCAAGCATTGCTTCAGGATTGGGACGGCTTCCTTGGAATTAAGTGGAAAAGAGTAGTAGAATTGGGTGTCATCTGCATAGAGGTGACACTGCACTCCAAAACTCTGGATGATCTCACTCAGCAGCTTCATGTAGTTGTTAAAAAGGATGGTGGATAGAACAGACCCCTGAGGAATCTCAAATGACAAAGGCCAAGAGTTCGATCAGGTATCCTCCAGTACTACCTTCTGGGACCAGCCCTCCAAAAACGACTGGCACCACTGCAAAACAATGCCCCTAGCCCCATCTTGGCGAGTCAGCACAGGAGGATACCATGATTAATGGTATCAAAAGCCACTGAGATGTTCAAGAGAACCACTTCCCCTGTTGAGTTCTCTGCGGAGGTCATCCACCAAGGCAACCAAAGCCATTTCCGTTTCATGACCAGGCCTGAAACCAGACTGTGGAATGAATGCAATTTGACACCACTTGAGTTGCTATGGCTCAATTCTATGAAATCCTGGGATTTTTAGTTTGGTGATGTACCAGCACTTTTTGGCAGAGAAGGCTAAAAAACCTTATAAAGCTCCAACTCCCAGGATTTCATAGCACTGAACCATGGCTGTTAATGTGGTATCAGTTTATTATTATTATTTATTCTACAGGTTAGAAGCATTCTTTGTCACTATCATTCCAAACAATGCATGCTTCCAGGTTTATAAGACAAGTTAACACTCCCCTCCAAGTCTTGAACCATTTGGGTATGTGAAAAATATTGTAGAGAAAAACCCTATTAAAGTAAAACATGTGGACTGAAGCAGGGAAGTTCCTCCAACACATTTTAAATCTAAATTTCACAATGCCTGAACAATATTAGAGTGACTGCGTGAGCCACACGGATATTAAATAAATATACATACATACCACACAATTTATGTCAATTATCCAAACAACCGAGTTAATCAGATTGGCTTGTCTCCCAACTAGTAAGGGTGACACATCACTGATTTATGTGCCGCAGTAACTACTAGTTAGGATACAAGCCAACCTTGTGAAGCAAGAGCTCATAGTAGGATATCTGCTTAATTTGTAGCCTGTACAAGCCATATATTGAATTCAGAAAGTTTCATCAAGAGACTCAACAAGATTTAAAGGTTTGTTTACTTAGAATCCTAGAATAATAGAGTTGGAAGAGACCACGTGGGTCATTACTTCAAGTCCCTGTCATGGACTTTACTGAAATCTTTATATCCTGCAACTCTAACTAAAAATCTCAGGCTGCAGTAAGATAACGCCAATCTAACCAATGTAAAATCGTAAATAATAAATACAATTTTTAAAAATCTAAGTTTTAAAAAAGAAGACTAAAGCTCAAAAAGGTATCATATTTATTCTGGACATTCCCCTGACATCACCAAGCAAGAACCCGATTCCTGTATTTTGTTTGCTTTATTATGGTTACTGCAAAACTGGAAAGTTTGAACCCGATTTTTTGCCTATTGGGTATATAGCAATAAATCCTTCCCCAAACTTGTGTTTTTAAATCGAATGTCATTGGTCTGTTAGGACGTACCTTGCTTTCCATGAGCAGAAGACCAAAATGAAGTCTTAATCTCATCCCGGAATTTGTTCACCTGCTGGTTACCATTTCTCCTGCCAAATTTTGGCTGCTCTTATGATATCTATTTCAAGTCCCAGGTTTTGAACAAAGATGAACATGATGTCCCTGTTTCAGACCATTTCTTTTCACTATGGACCTACCAAAAGGCATTTTGGAAGCTATGGAACAACTTAACATTGATACTCAATTGAATGAAGGCATCCTGGATGGCAACCCTTGCACTACAAATTAATACATTGGTCTTTTAAACTTCCAGACACCAAATAATTAGTGTTAATATTTTCATTTGTCTTCTGAACCCTCTGCAGCCATAATTAACATTTGCTGACATGTTCTGTTTTTTTTTAGGAAAAGCCAAACAACCCCAAAACTAAAAATTAAAATAAAATAATAAAATAAAATGGCAGACACACAGCTGCCTGAGATTTCTAAATGCCTAGGTATCTGGGGAACTAACATCAGTAAATCCAAAGCAAAATACCAAATACTTTGTATTTTATGGTGTTGAACGTAAGCAGTTGTTGTAGTTGTTGATGTATCAGAATTCGTAACATCTTCTAACCAGTGTTTCCAAAATTTACTACCAATGGTGCCAAGAATAACAGAAAGTCATACTTACATAACAATTAGATTAGCTGTGCTTGAATGTTCTTTCAGTAATTCATTTAATCTAATCTGGCGGTGACTCTGAAATTAAAATGAGAATGTGGTTGATGTAAGCGTAAACAACAATTCTAATAAACCAAGAAGCAAAACTGACTGGCAAACTAAATGAGGTTAAATATGCCTCTATAAGACAGAAAAAAAACAGAAATACCTTGGTTTTGTACAGCTCAAGTTCATTATCTGTGATTCTCCAAGGCTCATCTTCTTTCATTTTATCTGCAACATCTTGCTCTTTATCATCTTCATGAAGTCTGAAAGGCTCTATCATTTCTTCAAAAGCAGCAATGCTGAAAATGATTTGATCATTTAATTGAAGCGCATCAGTACTTGGATGGATCATTGAAATTTTTACTAAAATACTTGTGCCGCACTCTCAAACACTGCAGAACCACTAAGTGAGATCCAAGCAATTACTTAAGGATGGATCATTCCTACTGGATTCCCTACATGCAGAGTTTCAAAAGTCATTACAAAACAGGGGGCATTCCAAATCTGTTATTGCACTACGCCATTCTCTGAAAGCCTGATCCCAGAGACAGGTTTTTACTTTCCTTCTGAAGAAAAGGGAGGGGGCTTATCTAATGTCACTGGGGAGGGAGTTTCATAGCTGAGGGGCCACCACTGAGAATAATAAATAACTAGCTTATGTTATTTATAAATAACATAAGCTAGTTATTTATAAATTGTTGTCTTGAGTGAGTCACACTCTCTACCTCAGGGAAAGATACAAACCTTTTGGGTCAGCAGCATTGGCTGACACTAAACAATAAAGCCATTTCATTTCAATTGTCTGCCATTTTGCTTCTGCGGGCCGCAGAAAAGCTCTTTGCAGAACACATCTGGCCCATGGGCTGTATGCTGTAAGAGCTCGCTCTAGAACCTCAAGGGCAATTACTAGAATTTTAAAATGTAAGTTTTTTTTCCACTTATGCAGAGGTTTTGTGCCCCTAACCTCTGTGAAAGGAGGAAGGGGTACTGTATTGCTCTCAACCCTTCAAAACCTATCTTCTCGTAACTGAAGGCTCCAAAGCTGAGACTAACTAGCCTCTGGAAATATCTAGTAAAATGCCAGTTTTGTTACTAAAAACAGATATAGAAAATCAACACACAAACTTACTTTTCTTTCTTTGGCTTTGTATTGATGTCACCCAGGACCATGATATCTGAGAAATCTATTCGAAATTTGCTGAGCAATGTAGCCATCCTAAAACAGATAGAACAATTGTTAACTGACTATAGAATCAGACTGATGGAAACATTCTGAATATTCAAAGAGGGGACTTCATCAGCCTCTACACCTATAGGTTCGAGATAAAATTGACTTCTATCTAATGGGGCTTTGCATGAGTGGAAAACATTTGTCATTGTAAGAGACAGGGAATCTCGCCCTGCCTTCTGTAACACATTTCCTTCACACATTTGATTGTTTTTCTAAGGAATCACAACCCTCCTAATTTTTTTATATGTGCAAGAGGTGAGGGTGATTGGGTGGTATCCTTAAAAGTCAGATGTCTTGCCTTGCCCAACAGAAATGGTTTTCTGCTAGCACAGAACCACTATGGCATATGACCCACTTTTTTACGTGTCAAAGTCTTACCATTTGTTCAGCACTCAGCATATACAAATATACAATTTAGCAACATGCTACTTTTAAAGTGTAAATATGTCACAACAAATTAAAACAAAGAAAAAGGTGTTTTATTTTGTAATCTGGATAAATTAATTAAATAGACATAAACCTGAATTTAAAAATCTGTAGAAAGAGATTGTTCAAGGCTGGCAGCATTTGGATTTCTCAAGATCAAGATACAAAAAACAAACTAACAAAATGTATTTGGCACATCTTTTTAAAAAAAATCATTAAATTTATGGTATTTGGAAGGGACAGGAAAATACTAAATGTCATATTTAAAGTATTATCTATAATATATGCAGATTTATTAATAATTATAACATGTAAACATTCTGATATTAATTATAGTCCTTATAACTGTAAATGATGGAAAGAAACATACGCTCTTCTGTCGTGATCTATTCTGTTTATTTTTCCACCAATGAATACCCTGATCTTACAGTCTTTCCATTTTTTCTTTGTTGTCAGAAGATATGGAATCAGGAGTGTTAAACCTACATGAGCAAGAAAAAGGGCATTCTTATTATACTGTGATAGGTTGTTAGAAAGTAAACACTACTTAGGGTTTTGAATAAGCTGCAGCATTAAAAAAAACATGTTTACCTCCATCGTCAAAAAGCCACCAAACATCAATATTATTTTTTCCTTGTTTTTTCTGAAATTGAGAGCTTGCATCAAGCAGTCTTTGATCAGCCAAGTTCAAGGGAATAGGCAGGCCTTTAGGGTCTGTAGAATTGAGAAGAACCACACAAAAAAGGTTTCATTAGAATTCTGACCAAGAAAGCTTTAGAAGAAAGAAAACAGACATCACTGTAACCTCTACATCCAAATCAAGAAGAAAAGTTAAAGATTTGCTTAAGTTTGCTCTATTATTTTCCTTTTTTAAAAAACCAAAGCTTAAAGTAAAGTCCTCCTCAGGACTTTAGGCCTATATCAGCTTTGCTTCCAGAACATTTCGCAAATTCAGTGGTCAACATGTTTTAAGTGTAAGGGGATCTGGAGATAAATGGACCACTGGGAAGTCGTAGAGTATTTCACACACTCAGGTGAAGTCTCAAAGATACAAAGAATAATTTCAGAACTGCAATGAGGACAGGATGCAAAAAATCAATAAGGGCTGAGCATGCTCAGTGGCCTCCAGAAATCATAGGACCTAGAAGCTATAAAAAGGAAAACAGAAGGCCAATTGGAGTTATTGTATTCTGAAGGACTGCATACTAGCTCACAGGCACCCTTTTCAGAAAAATTCCAGAAACAAAATGAAGATACTGTAATACTTTCTACAGGTTTTATAGAATATACATGTTCCAGAGATCACAGATTATTTTTTCCACTTATTTGAGTTTAGCCAAATATAGCACACGCTGTCCACTGAAAATTAGAATTATATTATCACTGCTGGAGAAATGCAAGAAAAATAGACAATGTTTATGCTGAAGTATTTGAAGAAATGTCACTTTTGCCATTCATCCCATTAAAAGACATATAATGGGATTACAATAATATCTTAAACTAAGCTTTGGTATTTCCTTTCCATATAATGAAGCCAAAGGTAAATATACTAAAAGAACATCCTGAAAGCTCATGTTTTATAAGGTATGTCAAAACAAAGGAAATCGGCACAAATAGAATAAGTTATAACATAGCTGTAAAAATAACCATTTAACACAGGAACATTTTGTATTTTGGTGCAGCTGAGTTAACAGATGAGAAGCAAGAACCATGGACTGTAAAAAATAGATCCAAAGAATAAGGAATAGAAAAAATGAAGATCTGTAAAGGATACAAGAAAAGTTATGAAAGCCATAATTGTCAGAGGAATCATAAAATATATCTTGTAAAGCAAGCCTGGAAATCGTATTTATTTAGGCCTAATAATGGTTCATAGTGTCCTGAACCCCTACACTGTGTATAGAGGGAGGTGCCATTGCCCATTTTTTCACCTTTTAATGTATTTTAGGTCTATTTCAATGGGTAACATAATCATCACTTTCTTTTTAAAAAGGTCTTTTTGGGCTTAATAAAATGGGGTGCATGTGTGTGTTATAGCCATGGAACCGTTCTTAGGTACACTCGTTGGCAAGATTGGCAACCACATTACTCAGGATCCTGTGTGATTTAAGAGGAGGAGGAAGTATAAATAAAAGTGCAGTGTTCCCATTGCTTTTCAGAATATGAAAACCCTAACAACTCGTTACAGAGTGCACTGCTTCAGGCATACGTGTAACAGTATGAATTCAATGATCCACACTGGCATAAACCAGAGATTTAATTTAAAAACATACCGCACAATACATGGGCATAGGATTACATTTAGCTTTCCTTCTTTGAGCAGCAACTTTCTGGCATGTGTGTGCAAACTCCCTTTGTAATTTCCTCACAGCGTGTCTGTGTGTGAGAGAGGGCCCATCTCCTACAACACAACCGATAAATGTTATCATGACCCATGTCTTTGAGATACTGAACCAAACTATTTTTCACTAAATCTCTGCCACAACATGGCACATTTGCTATTAAATTTATCCTTGTTGTGCTCCCAACAGCCTTATCAGGCAGCATTTAAGCAGTCATAACATTGTTTCCTCAACAATTGCTATCATGAGCAAGAACCCCCCCAAGAGCAGAGAAGGTACCTGAGAGAAAAATAGTTCTTCCTGCATTTGCCATGTATGAAACAAAGTGTAGAAAAGTATAGAATGATGGTTAAAGTATGGAAAATGGATTGAAAACAAAAGATGGGAAAATGGCCTGCCTTTTTTCAAAAGTGGTTGTGTTGGGGTCTTGACATCTTCTTCCTCTTCTGGACATGGTTTAAAAGTGAAGAAAACAAAACAAAGCATTATTTACAGTCTTAATAAAAATGTGAACTCTGTTTAATTTTAAAGTGTAATGTGATTTGCAATTATGGAAAAACCAAACATGAATGAATTCAATCAATTGTATGACCTCTGTTTACTTTTAAGGTGGAATGTGAATTGCTATTATAGAAAAACCATACATGAATTAATACATTTATTTTAATGATTGGAAATGTTTAGGATGCTAATACACACTTTGTTTACATACATACACTTTTATTTACATGTACACACACTGTCACGTCTATCACTATACTGAAACTTGAATGTCTGAAACAGCTGGAATAACTGTCAATTAAACTGCCCTTCATTCTTTTTTCCTTATTATTCTCAAAAAGTTTAAGGGAGAAGAGAGAGCTCAGCAAAATGAGCAGAACTTATCTTATCGGTGCAACAAGAAGCTGGGAAAACAGTATCAGTCTTACAGCTTTGACCTAAAACTAACTGTACTACTAGATAAATACTTAAGAAGTGCCTGAGGGACAAAAACATAGTTTTTCTCTAGCACTATGAACTGAGACTCTGTGCTAATTTATTTTCCAACATATTTAATCAAATGTGCAGCCAAATAATTTTCGATCCACGATCTAATTGTCTTATGACCCTCCTACCCTGCGTATTATTTCAATTGTAAATGAAATAGTGAACAATGCTCTCCTTCCACTTCAGTTTCCAAGATTTACACAACTACTACAATCTTTACTCAGTAATTTACTCTACCCAGAATGAACTGCTGCACATAGAAGCATGGAAAAATAACGTGATTTCAGATAACAATACAAATATTCTAGGCATGTGTATGAAGAAATGAGAACTACTGCTGTGGTAGCTAAGTTTTTAGTTATTGGTCCCAGTGCTCTGATTTAACAGCAATGGAGCAGGAGCTTTTTTGATTCTAAGACTGAAGAAACCACCAAGAGAACTTATGACAAAAGGGACGAGGCCCCTGACCACTAAGTAGTCTTTGACTATGAGCACCTCTGTTTGGTTCCACAAACACACTCACACAGATATGACTAACAGTAAAATAAGATCACTTAAAAAGCAGTGTCTCTGTACCCTTGTAATGGTTCAATATTTTCTTGCAATAAATTGCTCCCAGAAGACATTGAAAATATCTCCCTTTCTGTGGTTTCACTTCTATATCAAAGTAAATTGGATTTAAGAAAAATACTATTCTTGCAGCTTCCCAAAGCAAATAATAATAATATGCTTACAACATGATATGCAATCAAGTGGGTTCTGAGGTACCCACTTTTACCTTTTGGGTGATAAATTTAGCTTTACATTTTAAAATTGCACTCTATAATGATTCTTGAATTGACAAAATCCAAATGAATTGTTACCTTTATGGATAGGAGCCTTTTCACTCACAGGTTTTGAAGTCACTGTCTCAGGCTTCTTGCTGTAGTCCACATTTACTATTATGTCTTTTGTTACTGGCGATTTCTCTTGGGATGACAGCACTTCTTCTGTAATCAAACATATGACTGAGATTTACAAAAAACTAACTGGCTGGCATGCTGAAAGAGAATACACTTAGATTATAAATATATCAATAGTCAAGGCAAAGACCAGGCAAACAAGGAAGGATGGAGAGGGATGAAATACTATTGAACTGCGGGACTCTGGACATTTTAAGAATGCCATTCCTCTCCTGAGTACTCAACGCTATGCTTTTGTTCAACTGCTTTCATGGGATTTATGTAGTGTGATATACACACACTTTCTACATAGATAAATAGAATAGACAGATATCAGATTAATAGAAATTCTTCAATAAAGAACTGAAATCAACTTGTAGCTCTGTTAATTAACTGCTGAACAAAAGGAGGCACAGTAACTGAAAGGAATAGTTGTATTTAATGTCAGATATCACTCATAGTGTAAGATATGCTTGCTTATCTATAAGAGCAAAGCATTGCTTTATGGTAACACATTGGATAAAATGTAAACTAGTGTGTGGTTGACATTACAAGTCTGTTTCATATCAGATAGAAGAACAGCAAGTTACTAAAACCATCCTGAATGCCAGAACTGAAGTGATTAAGTAAATATTAACCAGAGGACACTTCCGCAACTGAAGGGCTACACAACTAAAGTCCTATCTCATGCACTGGCAAACGGAAGTACACGACTTCAAAATATGACTTATTTATTGGCAGGGTCATGGAGTCCCACCTAATCTAAAACTAAAATGGTTAATAACAGCCCTTCAAGTCAGCCACAGAAGTATACTGATAGCCAATGCAAATACTTCCAAGTATATGAATGAATGACCATTACAAGGACTTGAATTTACTGCCTCGAGTTAAGCCACATGGCATTAATGAAATGTGTAGTTACTATATAAAACCATTTAATGAAATACTAAAAGATCTATTTTGAGCAAACTTCTTACTTCTATCCCTATATTAATTCAACATCATAAGCATTTGGTACATATCCTTTTTAGTTTACAGATACACAGCTTTATCTACAGCCTCCAAAAAAAGATGGAAAATGGGGGGGGGGGGAGGAGGAGCTTAAATGCTCAAGGGAGAAATATTGCTGTATCAGCTTATACTCAGTTTGCTTCAGTAGCTCTGATTTTATCCAAACTCATATTCTGCTCAGAATTACCTTGTCCCTGCAGATGAGAAATATCCAGACCTTCTCTCAGACGTATTACAACGACTCCATACTGAATGTCAAAGGCATCACTGTAAGAGAATAAATATGTTTTAGGAAAACCTACAAACAGTCAAGAGTCAAATAATGACATTAATTAGGTGGTACAGGCAAGAACGATGGGGAATAAAATCAGGAAGAAAGCTGTATCTGAAGGTCGTTTTGGCTTCTGAAATCAGCAAAAACAGTTCTATTTTTATGTGTGTATTCTGATCAAATCTTTCTAAAAAAAAGCTTTCCTCCTTCCTGTAAAACAGTTTCATGATTTTTAGCATGCTTACTAGATTAGTAGTAGCAATATTACAATACAATTTCCCCACTGCTCTTTAATCAAGCAAACTTCCAATTTTGACCTATGCAAGTGATGTAGTTTACTTGTCCCTCAATTAGATTTGAAAGAAATGACAGTTAAATTTAGCTGTTTCATGCCCAGAAGCATCTTAGTGCAGTTTGCCATCAATAACTCAATGGGAATTCCTTTTGAAGAAAAACAGACAAAAGGCCTATAGTTTAAGAGCAATAAATATTTTGAATTGGGAGACACTGCTTAGAATACTAGTATATGCTGAAATTATACCATTCAAAAGAGGTGAGTTTATATTTTTATACGATTGTAATTTAAACACTAAAATAAAAAGGACATTAAAGTACTAGAAAAAATATCATTTATCATATTTAACTAGTGGGGAAAGCTGCTTATAGTTTTCTCAGAGTAATGGACACAGCATTTATTGAGATAAATACATACAGCAAATACATGTGCTAAAACTAACAGAACTGCATATCCACAGCTGGCAAATAAGACTTCTCTACTCACTGTAGTAAATTGATGTAAATGTCAACTTCATTCATGTCAGCTGTCTGCCAATCTTTCTTAAATCCAAGCACAAGTGTGTTTGGTCTCATTCTACCCAAGCCTGCAGCCTAACAAAACAGAAAAAAAATAAGAAAAAAATTAAATTAAAAATGCACTCACAATTTTGGGATGTTATACCAAAGCATACATGCTGATCCTAACTCTATTATTTCCATATGTCTGCCTCTGGTATCAAATTTCCTCTTAAAGAAGTAATGACAAGGAACGTATCTACTTTGTTAACAGGAGTATAATCTTTATTTGTGTCAAATAGTCTTTGGCAACTTGATGCAGTCCAGATTTTTTGACATATACATCCTATAATCCATTATATCCCCATACTAAAAAAGGAAACGCTAATGAATGCTCGAACTTTTGTACGGTGGCACTTATTTCCCATACCAGTAAGGTAATGCTCAAGATTCTGCAAGGAAGTCTCCAGCAATACATGGAGAGAGAGTTGCCAAATGTACTAGCTGGGTTTAGAAAAGGCAGAGGAATGAGAGACAAAATTGCCAATATCCACTGGATAATGGAGAAAGGCAGCGAGTTTCAGAAAAAACATCTATTTCTGTTTTATCGACAGAAATAAAGCCTTTGACTGTGTGGATCATAATAAACTGTGGCAAGTTCGTGGTGGTATAGGGATACCAAGCCACCTTGCCTGTCTCCTGAGGAATCTGTATAATGACCAAATAGCAACAGTAAGAACAGATCATGGAACAACAGACTGGTTCAAGACTGGGAAAAGCATACGGCAGGGTTGTATACTCTCACCCAACCTATTCAACTTGTATGCAGAACACATCATGACCTATGCGGGGCTTGACGAATCCAAGGCAGGAGTTAAAATTGCTGGAAGAAACATTAACAACCTTAGATATGCAGATGATACCTCCTTGATGGCTGAAACAAAGGAGAAATTGAGCCTTCTAACGAGGTGAAAGAAGAAAGTGCAAAAGCTGGGTTGCAGTTAAACATAAAAAAAAACCAAAATTATGGCAACCAGACTGATTGCTAACTGGCAAATAGAGGGAGAAAACATGGAGGCAGTGAGAGACTTTGTATTTCTAGATGCAAAGATTACTGCAGATGCAGATTGCAGCCAGGAAATCTGCATTTATTTCTAAGGGGGGGGGGGGAAGCAATGATCAATCTTGATAATAGTGAAGAGTACAGACATCACACTGACAATGAAGATCTGCATAGTTAAAGCAATGGTATTCCCCATAGTAACTTATGGATGCAAGAGCTAGACCTTAAGGAAGGCTGAGCAAAAGAAGGTAGACGCTTTTGCACTGTGTTGCTGGAGGAAAATTCTGAGGGTGCCTTGGACTGCAAGAAGATCAAACCAGTCCATACTCCAGGAAATAATGAGCAGCTGCTCACTGGAGGGAAGGAGATGAGAGGCAAAGATGAAGTACTTTGGTCATATCATGAGAAGACAGGAAAGCTTAGAGAAGACAATGATACTGGGGAAAATGGAAGAAAAAAGGAAAAGGGGCAGACCAAGGGCAAGATGGATGGATGGTATCCTTGAAGTGATTGGCTTGACTTTGAAGGACCTGGGGGTGGCCACAGTCGACAGGGAGCTCTGGCGTGGGCTAGTCCATGAGATCACGAAGAGTCGGAAGCAACTCAATGAATAAACAACAAACATCCTATCATCCCCATCCAGCATAGTTATGAGTCATCCTTGGAGAGGATGATGGGAACTACAATCTAACACATCTGGTCAACATCCCAGTTTAAAGAAAATGTGAGTGTATAACTATTGATACAATAGGCAACACTTTCAAATTTAGAAGTGGAAACGGTAAGATCTACTTGAAAATACATTTCTGAGAACAGATCACTACACAGCAACATACGGCCCTCTTTTGACAGTAACAAAGTACCTGCATTAAGTATTGTGCACCATCTCTCAAATCTTCTGCACGTACTGGAGCATAAAATGCTTTCATTTTGTTTTTAATAAGCCACCGCTGGTACTTTGGCATGTCTGTCGTCAATTCCTTCATAGCCTGCCTACGAGGGCTCTTTTAAAGAAAAAGATAGGGAAATGTTACACACACAGACACACAAGTTTATAACAGACAACTGAACATTCATCAATGGAAAACATCAACTGACTCTTAATAAAAGCCAAAATATGCTCAATTCAAAAACTAATGGCATCACTCCAGCCAGAAAACCATTACTACAGTAGCTATCCAAATTAACCACTACTTTCTTCTGATTACAGAACTAGAATATTGTTAAATTATTTAATGTTGCTACAGGAGCTACATTCATAGAGATTGGCATACTTAGGATGTTCCTGAGTAAAGCATGTGATAAATATTAGCATGTTATCATGATTTGAGCATTGGACCATGACTTTGGAGAACAGAGTTTGACTATACTTTTGAATATACTTGCTCAGAGTGGATTGCCTTTGCACTCCCTCTCAATCTCTCTTGAGGTTGAGAGAGAGTATGCTCAAGTTCACATAGTGAGTGAACTCATGGCCGAGCATACTTTTATTTTATGAATTAATCCAAACTAACTCTACTAGGCATTCATAAAGTAAAGTACATTGAGCTATGGAAACCCACTGAGTGAACTTGGGCACACTCTCTCTTTAGCACAAAGGAAGGTAATGGCAATCCCTCTCTGAACAAATCTTGCCAAGAAAATTCCTTAGCATTGCCATAAACTGGAAACTTCCTGAAAACGCACAACAAAATTATTAGAATCAATGTATCTTATTCTTCGATTCTCCATACTGTATAAAATGCGAGCAAGATTCAGTACTTCAAGCTACCTTTGCAGTAGTTGCTCCTAGCCTGTGTAATTCCCTCCCCACAAAGTAGGGTTAACTCTCATCTGCTAAATCTTTCTGCTGCTTTCTGCTGGCAGGCGAAGATTTTTCTGTTGTCTAGAATTTTGGCTGTTTGAGCACTGCAACTGTTTTTGTCAACTAGGGTGTGCTGTACTTTTTTTTCAGTATTCCTGTGTTTTAACTGCTTAAAATTTATATTTTTAAAATAGTCATTGAACTGTTTTAAATGTTGTGTTATATATTATTTTAACTGTATAGGACCTTGGGTCCAATACTGGGAGACAGGCAAGAGAACAAATAGGATGTTGCCAATGTACTAATGTTATAAATTCTTTCACTACCTGGCCATCCCATACTATAAAGAGAGAGAAAATGTGTATGCATAACTTAATTCTTGTGTTCGCCACAAAATAATGTGATATTACTATGCGGACATTTTCATTCATATGGACTTTATTACATAAAATTTACACACTCAGACACGAATAAAATCATCCTAGTTTTACTAATATTTTTTCCTGTTTCCGCCTTGTGTCTAAGCCTTGGCACTCTTATGCTATGTTAAACCAATGGGGCTTAAAAAAATACCACAGGACAATGTTTTGGTTTTTGCACAGTCCCAAATACTTCCCAAAGAAATAAGAGACTGGGAAATAGAATAGCAATGTGTCAAGCTATTTTATAATAAAAGTAAGAAAGTATTTAGACTTACCATATGTACATGGCCACAGATCATCAGACCTACATTTTTAGTAAATGCATGGACCAGATGCAGCAAAGCAGGACGTGAATTTGGAGGACCACTCATTACAAGGCATTGTGGCCTGATAGTGGATTTAAAAAACAAAACAAAATCGTCAATATGCACATTCCTGATAGGCATGTGAACTATTTGAGTAGTTAAAAACGGCAGATTTGAATAATTTTTCGCAAATCATCATTAGGGCCACACATTTCAGGTGGCAAGTATATCGATTGCCTATTTATTAGCAAGAGAAAGCCAATACCATTCTTTTCTGAAAGTCTTATAGTGAAGGAAATAATCAGGACATCATGATATTGAACCTCAGTAATGTCAGCCCAAAGGAACAAAACTATGATTATTGGGCAGTATAACAATATATACTCAACATTTTTTTCAAGCTTCTGCCCTGCAGTCTGTTTCCTAAGAAAGATGCCACCTGATGAGTATACAGCTGTCCTCCTTCTACCTTTCTACATTTAATATTTTAGGAAATCTGTGGCGTTTGTGTGTTTTGTTGTTGCTGTTCTAAGTGACAAATTATCCATATATACTCAAGCATAAGCTGACCCTGAATATATGCTGAGGCACCTCATTTTACCACAAAAAACTGGGAAAATGTATTGACTCAAGTATATGCCATGGGTGGGAAATGCAGCAGCTACTGGTAAATTTCAAAATAAAAATAGATACCAATAAAATTACATTAATTGAGGCATCAGTAGGTTAAATATTTTTGAACCTTTACATAAAAGTGTAATTTAAGATAAGACTACCCAACTCTGATTAGATCATTATTCTAACCTTTCATGTAAATCTGCTTATGTATCCTTCCAATAATAATAGAGTAAAATAACTGTAACAAAAATAATAAGAGCTAAAAATGGAAATGTAATAACAATAGAGTAAAATAATAAATGTAACAGTAATAACAACAACAGAGTAAAATAATAAATAACTTTGATTTGAGTATTAGCTAAGGGGGGCGTTTTAAGCCATAAAAATGGCTGAAAACTTGGCTTACACTCGAGTATATATGGTAATTCACTTTGGAATGTTTTATAGTGCATTGCATTCATTGTACTGATAGTTGTAATACTAAAGCTGACAATCTAACAAAATGAATGAAGAAGTCAATATAGAAGTATTACAGGTAAAAGGTAAGGAGGCTGCTGAAGCAGGCGACAGAAGTTCGAGATGTTTTGATTTTTACTCCCCCGGAAGCACATGCAAGCATATGCCTGACTTTTGCCACAAAATAGCTGTGGCAAGTAGCTACACATCTCTAATTTTTTGTGTCAATCCTCCTCTTCATCAGCTGAAAAAACTACATTTGTTGAAAGTTTTCTTCCACTCCAAGGGCTCCCCCCTTCCTTGCCTTATACTGTATATGTGTATAACATTTTTCACTTTGTTGTATTTTAGTTCGTCTTGAATCCCAGCCTCAGGATCCCACATTTAGTTTAACAAAAGAACACCTGTTCCAAAATCAAAGACCAAAAACAAACAACATATAAGATACAAGATATCTATACATGTTTCAAAGCTTATTTAACCAATTACTTATCATCCGCTTTCAGGCATTTTTGAAGGCACTGTAAACAGGCAAAAGTGACTATGGAGTTGTGAGATGGATACCTAGAAGATGCAAAGCTCAGAAAAGTTACTTTCTTGATCTACGACACCAGAAATCCCACAGCCAATGTGAACACTGGATTCTAGTTGTAGAAAAAGGAATGTTTCCAAGATTTGCTAAGGTGCATCACTGCTCTAGTTTTTATTTCAAGCTCTATTAAAATAATAGTGTAATACTAAAGAATATCAGGAAAGTATATTTCAAGTCACCTGAAGTTTTTCACATGATCTTCCACACCTGTAAGGCGGACAGCATGCTGCAAAGCATTTAGGTAAGTCAAGGCTTGTGTTGAAGATCCCCAATTGACATCTGTAAAAAGACCAACCTTATTATGCTGAAACAGGGATTTTTTTTTAAAAAAAAGAAGAGAGCAGATAAAACTCGTAAAAGGTTTTCCCAGAAATGTACTAATGCAATGCTTTTAGGAAAAAATACAATTTTCTTATGAAAGCTTGACAAGCTTCAAAATATTCATTTAGACAAGCCTAGTTATGACCAAAGAGGATTAACAAGAGGGATGAATTCCTCTTTAGATTTCTAAAGGGCTTGATTTCCCCCCCATAAATTGGTAGCGAGGGTGATAATCTACCATGGAGAAAAAACTCTCTCTTGTTTCTGAGAGAGAGAAAATAAGAGTCTTCATTACTAATAATCTGCATCTGTCAAGTTATTGAAGTACAAAGACTCCAGTTATTTCAATGTTCATAAACGTCATATACTTAACCTTTTAAACTATTAGTCTTTGTTCCTGTCGGTATATGAGAACTTATATGCATTCTGTTACTTTTTTTTTGTTTTAATAAAATCTAGATCTCAAATTCATAAAATATCACAGGCAATTTTAGGTGATTTTAAAAGGTGGAACTGAGTTTGTCATGTCAACTAATGCCAACAAATGACCTTTCAAAAATAATCCCTGGGTGAATTTTCTAATCTTTATCAGTAGGAGGTGGCACTCAAATGACTCAAACAAAACTCTTCTTGTTTCAATATCAAATCTATGTTCACCTACTTAAGGGTAAGACACACCTAATGGAACCCAACTAAATCTGGTTAGTTAACACTAGATTTGACCCCCTATATTTGGCATCTGATAAACTGTTGGCAGACTACACGAGTTGCCTATCTTTTTATACTAGACCAGTGGTTCTTAACCAGTGGACCAGGAGGACCAAAATCTGGTCCGCGAGCCTACTTCCTCTTTATGTATGTATTTATTTAATTTGCCCCCCTTTCACACCGCCTGCCACTCCTTCCCTGTCGCTGATCAGCCCCGGCCTCTTGGATAGACCATGTCAGATCTGGATTATTAAATATGGTTTTCTGTGAGCAAGCAGAGGGTGACTACTGGATGGCATATGCTGTGTATCAGAAACTAGAGCTGATGTGGTCTATCCAATGCAATTTTCTAAATCAAGATCCCAAATAACCAAACGAAATCTAAACTGCTTTGTAACCCTTTTTGTACTAATGTTCCTCTCTGGAATGGGGAGATGACTAGGGCAATAGACACGATCGCTCCAGAACGTCCCCTCTCAAGTAGCCGAGCTAAACCAGCTCCTTGGTTTACCGAGGAGCTGGCAGCGTTGAAGCGAAAGAAGAGGGAACTAGAGAGCGTGTGGCGTTCGGATCCGAGCGAGCCAAATCGAACACGGTTTGTGTCCTTTTTAAGGGCATATGCCGTGGCAATAAAAGCCGCAAAGAAGACTTTCTTTGCGGCCACTATTGCGTCTGCTAAGAACCGTCCGGCTGAACTGTTCCCAGTTGTCAGAGGCCTGTTAAAACCCACCACTCAGGATGGGTGCCCTGATGACTCGGCAGCTCGCTGTGAAGCTTTTGCTCAGTTCTTTGCAGACAAAGTCGCTTTGATCCGCTCTGGACTGGATACCATATTAACGGCAGTCTCTGAGGATGTAACACGAGCATCTGCTTGTCCGGTTTTGATGGATTCATTTCAATTGGTTCAATCCGAGGATGTGGACAAGGTGCTTGGAGGAATGAGAGCTACCACATGCATCCTAGACCCCTGCCCATCCTGGCTTCTGAAGGAGGCCAGAGGGGGATTGGCCGAGTGGGTGAAGGTGGTGGTTAATGCCTCCCTTCGGGAGGCAAAATTCCAGCCAGCTTAAAGCAAGCTGTGATAAAACCGCTGTTGAAAAAACCATCACTGGACCCCACTCAATTCGTCAACTATCGGCCTGTTTCCAATCTCCCCTTTTTGGGCAAAGTCATGGAACGTGTGGTGGCCTCACAACTCCAGGCATTCTTGGTAGACACGGATTATCTGGATCCGGCACAGTCTGGCTTTAGGCCGGGGCAGGGTACCGAGACAGCCTTGGTCGCCTTAGTGGATGATCTGCGTCGGGAGCTCGACAGGGGGAGTGTGTCCCTGTTGGTGCTGCTCGACCTCTCAGCGGCCTTCGATACCGTCGACCACGGTATCCTTCTGGGACGCCTCGCGGGGATGGGTCTTGGAGGTACTGTTCTGCAGTGGCTCCGCTCATTCCTCGAGGGTCGGTCTCAGAAGATGTTACTGGGAGACTCCTGTTCAACCCCACAACCTTTGTCTTGTGGGGTTCCTCAGGGTTCAATACTGTCTCCCATGTTGTTTAACATCTACATGAAGCCGCTGGGCGAGATCATCCGGAGTTTCGGAGTGTGATGTCATCTGTATGCAGATGATGTCCAACTCTGTCACTCCTTCCCACCCGCTACTAAGGAGGCTGTCGAGGTCCTGAACCGGTGCTTGGCCGCTGTGACGGTCTGGATGGGGGCGAACAAATTGAAATTGAATCCAGACAAGACAGAGGTACTCCTGGTTAGTCGCAAGGCCGAACAGGGTATAGGGTTACAGCCTGTGTTAGACGGGGTCGCACTCCCCTGAAGACGCAGGTTCGCAGTTTGGGTGTGATCCTGGACTCATCGCTGAGCCTGGAACCCCAGGTTTCGGCGGTGACCAGGGGAGCATTCGCACAGTTAAAACTTGTGCGCCAACTGCGACCGTACCTTGGGAAGTCTGACTTGGCCACGGTAGTCCACACTCTGGTTACATCCCGTCTTGACTACTGCAACGCTCTCTACGTGGGGTTGCCTTTGAAGACGGCTCGGAAGCTCCAATTAGTCCAACGGGCGGCAGCCATGATACTAACAGGAGCGGGGCGCAGGGAGCATACAACTCCTCTGCTGCACTAGCTCCACTGGCTGCCGATTTGCTACCGGGCTCAATTCAAAGTGCTGGCGTTGGCCTTTCAAGCCCTAACGGTTCTGGCCCAACTTATCTATCCGAACGTATCTCAGCCTATCAGCCCACCAGGACCCTAAGATCTTCTGGGGAGTCCCTTCTCTCTATCCCTCCAGCTTCAGAAGTGCGGCTGGCGGGAACGAGAGACAGGGCCTTTTCTGTGGTGGCCCCTCGGCTTTGGAACGCCCTCCCCATAGAGGTAAGATCAGCCCCCTCGCTGATGGTGTTTCGAAAAAGATTGAAGACATGGATGTTCAAACAAGCATTCGGTTAATCCAGTGCAATGAATTTGATGATCAAAGGACTGGTAATCACAGACGACGAAATTGGATTGCGATTTTAGTTAAGAGATGCATTGGATTGTTATTGGTGGCCCAATACTGTGTACTGTGTATGTGTTTTTTATGCTTTTTAAATTGAATATTGTTGATTGTTGTAGTGTTGTAAACCGCGTTGAGTCGCCAATTTAGGCTGAGAAACGGCGGTATACAAGCGCAGTAATAAATAAATAAATAAATAATGTTGGAGAGTGGTCCCTGGTCAAGTGGTCCCTGATCAAAAAAAGGTAGAGAACCACTGTACTAGAACAAGGGCCAATTCTGATTCTGTAACTTTATTCTCACAAAATGATTAAGCTATGTATGTAATTTAACATCACATCCCATTGCTCAGCCAACCGCAGTTTCTACCCAGGATCAACATCTCCTAATGACAGACAATTTTGGGGTGGACATTGCTGACTTAATGATCAACAGAGGCAGATGGACTTCTAGGAGGGTGGTGTGTGATTCTTTGGCCCAAATCCTATCGAAAAGACCATGGGAAATAAGATTGAAAGCCATAACTTGGCTGCGGAGGGACTACCAGTCACTTGACCGCTCCACTTCTCTTTTAATTACACCGGAAGACAATTTATGGCTTGGCGAGCTACTGGCAATGCGATCTTGCCTAAAGAAATGGGGCATTACCATCAGAAGGGTAGTTGTGGACCCTCATATTCACCCCCTTATTGACACAGTGGTACCTTCTCGCCTTGTTCCATCAGGTCCCTGTGATAAATCCACAGATAGCTCCCCGGTTAGGCCCCCCCCTCCTGGTCTGTACCAATTTGAAACCCTATCTGTTCCAGTTGTCCCTACACAATCAGCCACACTCTCCCAACCAAGAACACTTCCCCTGTTTAGTCCACTCAGTTCCCTTGATGGCTCTCTTTCCAGTTTAACATCGGAAGCATCCCCACCTGAAGCCCAAGGGAGACTATACTCCAGCCTTACTTCTTCTGAAAGTTGACTAGCCACAGATCCCAACAATGTAGGGAGGGAGGGGGGACCAGAGGAGGGGGGCACCATTCAGGTCGTGTGGGGGAGGAGATTTGCGGGTCACCAACGCCCCAGGGAGAAGCGCAACAGAGTTCTTGCGACCCTGGAGAAGGTAGGAAGTGGTAGGCCCCATGGCAGTCCCCTCGGCCTTAAGGTCTTGCTGATCAACGCCAGATCCGTCAATGGTAAGACCGCTGCCATTCAGGACATGATCCTGGATGGGGGGGGGCGGATCTGGCTTGCATTACTGAGACCTGGTTGGACGAGCTGGGGGGAGTAAATCTCACTCAGCTGTACCCACCAGGCTTCGGAATGCATCAGCAGGCCAGGCTGGGGAGGGGGGAGGAGGGATCGCAGTTGTCTATCGGCAATCCATCGCCGTGGTCAGATGCTCTGTTCCGCAAGCATCTGGGTTTGAGTGTGTCCACCTGAGGGTGGGGAACCGTGACAGTGTGGGGTTTCTGCTGGTGTACCGCCCACCCCGCGACCCAGTAGTTTCCCTGACTGAGCTAGCAGAGGTGGTCTCCAATTCGGCCTTGGTCTCCCAGCGCCTGGTTGTGCTGGGAGACTTTAACATTCATGCTGAGACCCCCTTGACTGGTGCAGCTCAGGATTTCATGGCCGCCATGACGACCATGGGCCTATCACAAATTATATCTGGCCCTACCCATCAGGCTGGACACACACTCGACCTAGTTTTTGTGGCGGACAGTGGAATGATCAGAGTGGAAGAACAAAACATCCTTCCAGTGTCATGGTCTGATCACTATCTGGTCAGTTTTAGACTCACTGCGACCCCCAACCTTCGCAGGGGTGGAGGACAAATTAAGATGGTCCGCCCCAGGAGACTGATGGATCCGGATGGATTCCTGAGGAATCTTGGGGTTCTTCCTGCCATGGAGCCTGGTGATCCTGTTGACGTCTTGGTCAACCTCTATAACAGGGAAAATACCAGGACGATAGATACGATCGCTCCCGAACGTCCTATCACATTGCGTCATGACAAGCCATCTCCCTGGTTCACTGGGGAGCTGGCGGTAATGAAGCATACGAGGAAGGGGCTAGAGCGCACTTGGAGGAGTTCTCGGGACATGTCTGACCGAGCACGGGCTACAGCCTCTCTTAGGGCGTATACCGTGGCTATACAGGTAGCCAAGGAGTTCTATATGACTACCCGTATAGCGTCTGCAGCAAACAGATCATCGGAGTTGTTCTGGGTCGTCGGGGAACTCCTTCACCCACCTGTGGTGGAGGAGACTTTTGATGACCCAGCAACTCGGTGTCGCGATTTCGCACACCATTTTGCAGACAAAGTCGCTCAGATACGCCTTGAGCTCGACTCCAATTTCATCACAGTGCAAGAGGAGGTGATTGAGGCATCTGCTTGTCCTATTTTGTGGGATTCTTTTAGGCTTGTTCTTCCTGAGACCGTGGAGGAGGTCCTTGGAGCTGTGAGGGCAACCACGTCAGCTCTGGACCCTTGTCTGTCTTGGCTAATTAAATCGGCCAGGGAGGGGTTGGTTGATTGGTTTGTGTTGATCATTAATGCATCGTTGGAGCAGGGGTTTTTTCCATCTCACCTGAAACAAGCTGTGGTTCGTCCACTCCTTAAAAAGGTTTCCCTTGACTCCACGGTGCTGAACAATTTCAGACCAATCTCCAATCTCCCTTTTTTGGGTAAGGTGCTGGAGCGGGTGGTTGCCTCTCAGCTCCAGGGCTTTTTAGATGACATCAACTACCTAGATCAGTCACAGTCTGGTTTCAGGCCTGGTCACGGTACCGAGACAGCCTTGGTCGCCTTGGTGGATGACCTCCGTAGAGAGCTGGACAGGGGGAGTGTGACCTTGTTGGTTCTCTTGGACATCTCAGCGGCTTTCGATACCATCGATCATGGTATCCTTCTGGGCCGACTCTCTGGGATGGGTCTTGGGGGCACAGTTTTGTCGTGGCTCCGATCCTTCCTGGAGGGTCGATCCCAGATGGTGAAGCTGGGAGACGCCTGCTCGGACCCCTGGCCTTTGACCTGTGGGGTCCCGCAAGGCTCTATTCTATCTCCCATGCTTTTTAACATCTACATGAAACTGCTGGGAGAGGTCATCCGGAGTTTTGGAGTTGGGTGCCATCTCTACGCAGATGACACACAACTCTACTACTCTTTTCCACCTAATTCCAAGGAGGCCTCTCGGGTGCTGGACGAGTGCCTGGCCGCTGTGTCTATCTGGATGAGGAGGAACAAGCTGAAGATCAATCCCGACAAGACAGAGGTCCTCCTGGTCGATCGTAAACCTGACCGGGGTATAGGGTGGCAACCTGTGCTGGACAGGGTTACACTCCCCCTGAAGCCACAGGTCCGCAGTTTGGGAGTCCTCTTGGATTCATTGCTTACGCTTGAGGCTCAGGCGTCGGCGGTGTCTGGGAGGGCTTTTGCACAAGTGAGACTCGTGCGCCAACTGCGACCGTACCTCGCAAAGGCTGATCTGGCCGGGGTGGTCCATGCCTTGGTCACCTCTAGATTGGATTACTGTAATGCGCTCTACGTGGGGCTGCCCTTGAAAACGGCTCGGAGATTCCAACTGGTCCAACGGGCAGCGGCCAGGATGTTAACTGGGGCTCCTTACAGAGAGAGGTCAACCCTCCTGTTCAAGGAGCTCCACTGGCTGCCGTTTATTTTCCGAGCCCAATTTAAGGTGCAGGTGCTTACCTACAAAGCCCTGAACGGTTTGGAACCATCCTACCTGCGTGACCGCATCTACGTCTACGAACCCACGCGTTCACTTCGGTCATCTGGAGAGGCCCTGCTCGTGATCCCGCCTGCGTCGCAAGCACGATTGGTGGGGACACGAGACAGGGCCTTTTCTGAGGTGGCCCCCCGACTCTGGAACACCCTCCCAAAAGATCTTAGACAGGCCCCTACACTGGCAGTCTTCAGAAAGAACTTGAAGACCTGGCTGTTCCAATGTGCCTTCCCAGATTAGGAAATCTCCAATACCAAGTCCCATAAGCACTTTTAAAACTAAGATTGCTGCACACCGCACACTGCACTTGCCCTATAATCCTACATACCTCCTGTCACATCAGCACTTTTAATCCTGTACCCTTTACTCTGGCCTGGCCCAGTTTTATTGTGTCTTAGTGTATTGTTTATTGCTTGTTGTTTATATTGCTTTAATTGTTTTTAATTTGCTTAGGTTTTGTATTGTTATATTGTGTGTTGAGGCCTTGGCCTTTGTAAGCCGCATCGAGTCCTTCGGGAGATGCTAGCGGGGTACAAATAAAGTTTAATAATAATAATAAAAATAATAAAGGAAGATTACAACAGGAAATCTATATTAGAATTTAACTATGTAAGGCTGAACTTGTAGTATGGGATTCAGTGCTTACATTAGGATGGGAAGGGACCACAAGGGCCAACCTTGTCCAACCCCCTACCATGCAGGAATACACAGCCCAATCAAGCCTATCCAACTTCTTTTTAAAGACATCCAATAATAGATAATTCACTTTTAAAAAATAAGAATATAAAAAGTCATACTCTTTTTGTCTAGCACATTAACTGAATTTGGTATTTTGTTTTTAGTTTAAAAACAATCCTAAATGTGGTCTTCATTCTTCCTCCACCATACTTGTAAACCAGATTTGGGTACCAAACTCTTATTCTGTAAATCTCTCAGTGTATCTGAAAACAACCATGATGAATGGAGGGTTTGTAAGACATTAAGATCAAGGATTTACTTGATCCATCATCTGCCCAGCATACAAGCATCTCTTGTGCTCCTGTGCCCCAGTGGATCCAAACAATTTGATGCACACAATACATTCTTCGGGTGAAAGGGTGTATGTTAAAGACGAAAATGGTTGGGAACTAGACCTGGTAAATATTTGAACTACAACAAAATATTTGAACGACAACAAAACACAATAATTATAATAACCTTTGCTCTCTGTAACATTTCAATAGTCCCAAAGAGGTTTTTAATAACATCCACGACCTCAGTGTTCCTTCCTCCTTCACCTTCAGTACTAGGAGGGCAACAGCAACAGAATGAGGGTGAATCCATGAAGAACTTTACGTAGGTTTAAGCAAAGCTTTGCAACCTACTACTAACTCATTGCTTGCCTCTGGGGTCAAGTTTGACTTGGATGGGGCTTGCAACTTAATTTATCTTGCAACCTGATAATATCTAAAGCACCTATGCCACATAAATTAACTGTGGTGGTTTGAAGTCTTCAGAGAAGGCGAAGTCTAAAGATCCATAATAATTTGGGGTAGGATAATATGTTTGCCAAGTTACAAATACAAAAGACCATTTTCTTATGTATTGTCGAAGGCTTTCATGGCTGGAATCACTAGGTTCTTGTGGGTTTTTTCGGGCTATAGAGCCATGTTCTAGAGGCATTTCTCCTGACGTTTCGCCTGCATCTATGGCAAGCATCCTCAGAGGTTGAGAAGGTCAACCTCTGAGGTTGAGAAGACCTTCTCAACCTCTGAGGATGCTTGCCATAGATGCAGGCGAAACGTCAGGAGAAATGCCTCTAGAACATGGCTCTATAGCCTGAAAAAACCCACAAGAACCTACCATTTTCTTATCTTGTTCGGATGTTGGCAAGTTTTGAAACATTGTACTCTCTGTGTGGGGTGCACTGTTCAGAATAAATTAGCTAAATAAACTTCCTAATCCTTTTCAGTTTTTATTCTGTCACAATGCTTCTCACAACAAAAGCTCCCCTCCTTTCTTGATATTCAATACACATGGTTTCCTAGAGCTTAGAAAATCTTCATACTGTTTCCCTAGTTACAGATTTTAAAAAGGTAGTCCTGTTCAGAAAGCTTCAGATTATAACAAGAATAGTTATAGTTTTCTGATGTAAAACAATACCTGAATTAGGAAAAAATACCCCAGAAACATACATGTGACCTGTGCTAAATACCCTGTTAAACTAAATTGTAATCCCTCTTATAATATTAATATATCCCAAACATGCACTCACCTGGCTTCTTGTAAGTTACATAAATGTAGAGTCCTAGAACAATGACATATGTGAGGAGTGCTGCCCACCAGTTAATGACAAACATCACTATACAGCAAAGTATTGCTCCAACTAATGACACCCACATGTTGTAGTATTTAAAAGCAGGACGCCAACCTATTTGGAAAGCAAAAAAGAAATTAGATGCATAAAGAGAAAGAGCCCCTTTCAGTGTGCATATGAATACTTCATGCAGTATAAATGAATATTGCCAACATTCTGTCTAAACATATATGCTTAAAAACCACCAACAAAAAGTAACAGATGAAGAAATTTTGAATTATTGAAAACAAGGATAAGATAATGGGGATATCTGGATATTTGCTCCTGCACTACTTGTGTTGGCTTGTTACAACATTCAGACTTGGCAACCTGACATGACCCACTGAGAAGTCAGAACAATAATCTATAGATTGCTGTTCATTTAATTCTCTAGCTCTTTTGGAGGAAGACCAGCCAGAATGTTGGGGGGTAAGATGCTGCAATGATATAATTACAGAGACTATGCCCATTTTTAGCCAGTTTTTTTTGCAGCTAGAGCAACCCAGCAGCAAATAGTAGCCTGCCAGTACTAAACTGTAAAACAAGGAACTCTGACTTTCACATGAGAACCTAATCACAGGATGACATGCATTGCTTCTTTTCAAGTCTCAGGTTCTTTAGTGCATTCTCTAGCTACAATCTTGCCAGAAAGGTATTTTAAATTAAAAGAACTTAAATTTAACTCTACTCACTCATATTTGTAAGAGCAACAATATTAAATCCATACCTGGAGATTTTGCAAGCGAAGCATGGAATACAGAGAAGTTAATTAAGGCATAGGAAGCCAAGAAGAAGTTGGAGATAATTGGAGCAATTACATTCAGTTCAGCTGTAAAGATAGGAACACACATTTGATGTTTAATTGTTGCAATAGAAGTATGATAAATAAGATCTGTAACTTATAACAGTCTCCTTTGGAGCGTGCATTCTTTCCTGTCCCACATATGAGGAAGAGTGTTTAAAAGCACAGGAAACTCTATGTCACCTTAGTTCGATTCACATGCTATTTTCATGTGTTACTGTTAAGCCACCAGAAACTGTTTTCTAAAATTCCCAACAGCATATGAATTAACTAACCGATCAATATGAATCCAAGCGCAATCAGGAAAGTAAGAAGATATCCTCGCAATGGTTCATTATTCTTCCCATAGCCTTTAGCAAACATTAGGAAACCTGGATAAATATTGTCCTTGCACAAAGCCTAGGGGTGAGAAACATATAGAAAATTTAAATGTCACAATATAGAAATAGAATTTAAGGCAGCTCAGGACACATAGACCATGTGAAGAATGTAATTTATGCCAGTCAAAACTACTGCGACTACAAAGAACAATGTGGTTTTAATATAGGACGCTCGCTAAACTAAAAGCTTGTACTCTTTAGTTACATTACCTTACGCACGTGCATGTGCGTGTGTATGATCTTGCTACATAAATCATTAGTGTTTATATATCTAGTTAGAATAGACTCAATTAAATAACGAGAAAACCAGAGCTGTTTTGATGAAAATAATATATATATATTCTTTTGGTATATACACACCAAAGTGCATACATTTAGAAAAATGCTGTCAACTTCAAAAACAATACAAATAAACAAACTTGTTTTCACAACTAAGTTTGAGTCTTCTGTGATGGGAATTCAAATTTCTTACCTGGAAGATTTTAGGTGCACTGACAAGAGATGCCAAAGCTGAAGAAAGGGTAGCAGAAAATATGCCAGCAGATATCAGAGGTGCAAATCCTGATACCATACTCATCACCTGAAAACACAATATATATTTTTTAAAAAAACAAGGGCAGGTTTTAACTGCGGCGGTGAACAATGGTGTTAACACTCATTTCTTTGTCTAAGTAAGAACTATTACAGCATGTGGGAAAAGCATGGTCATACTTCATGAAGAATTACTGCGTGTTTTGTTTTGCTTTGTTCTCTTCCCATCTTTTTTGTCCTTCTTAATATTAGCTGGAATCCTGTTGGGGAGTTATGAATACATAAGCAAGCATTGTTGTTATGGAGCTATACAGTGAATCCTTGGTTACTGGACAGCAGCCACTGCAAGTGATGGGGGTCTGTTCCCTTGTTGACCAGAAAATAGCTGAAGTCCCCATCCCATCTTACATGCAGAGATAAGATCCTGTTGTAATTTCTTCTCATGACAGATGTGACACATGCAAGCAAGAGTGTAACTGTCAGTCAGCTGCTTCCCACAATTATATGAAATGGTATTCTCAAGAGAATGTTAATTTAACACTAGTACTTGTTCAGCGAAGTAGGTTTGATAAAAGCCTACCTCTCTGCTTTAGAAAAAAAGTTGGAAATTTGGTTAATGATCTCTTCAAAAAATATTTTGTTACTGATAATTCCTTGTAGTGTAGTGAGGGCCACATCTCCCTTATGGTTGCCTTCAAAGGACCTTTTGTAACTGTAAGACTGTATAAATATAATTATGTTGCTCTGGCACTGAAAGTCTCACGGGCCACATAAAATGATGTGGCGGGCCAATTTCAGCTGGTGGACCTTGCGTTTGGCACATGTACTCTAACAGATTTGACAAAGTGATATAAGACAACAAGGTAACTAAATTCAGCTAACTCACTCAGACAAAAGGTTATTTAAATTAAATGACCTTAACTGGGTTATCAGTACACAAAGTGATTTTGTAGCACCTTTGAGACTGTCAGAAACCTTTGCATAAGCTTTTGTAGACTTAGTCTGCTTTCTCAGGTACTCAACTAGGTTGTTGCTTGTCCCTAATTATAAGTATTTGAAGGCAGGAAAAGCTATCACGGGAAAGTTTATTTATTTATTTACTTTACTTTACTTGTATACCGCACTCTCTCAGCCCGTAGGCGACTCAGTGCGGTTTACAGCCAGGACAATATACAAGGTGCACAACATTAGCATTTAAAACAGTAACTAAAGCAACTACATTGATATAACAATACAACAGTACATCAATATAACATCTATACATCTATATAACTAATCCATCACGTCTCATCAGTAAAGTCATAATCCGATCTCCTCGTCCATTATTCCAAGTTCCAAGATCAATCAGTTGGTTGCACTGCTTAATTAAACGCCTGTTCAAAGAGCCAGGTCTTTACTCTTCTCCTGAACACCAGCAGGGAGGGAGCCGATCTAATGTCTGCGGGAAGGGCGTTCCACAGCCGAGGGGCCACCACGGAGAAGGCCCTGTCTCTCGTCCCCACCAGCCGTGCTTGTGAGGCTGGCGGGATCGAGAGCAGGGCCTCCCCGGACGATCTTAATGTCCTAATTGGTTCATAGGGGGTGATGCATTCGGACAGATAGGTCGGGCCAGAACCGTTTAGGGCTTTAAAGGCTAAAGCCAGCACTTTGAATTGTGCCCGGTAGCAAATTAGACCAATGATGTCCAAACTTTGACTCTCCAGGTGTTTTGGGTTTCAGCTCTCAGAATTCCTGACCTCTGGACAAGCTGGCCAGGGCTTCTGGGAGTTGGAATCCCAAACACCTGCAGGACCAAAAAGGTTGGACATCACTGGTTTAGACAGTATTGCCTTAAGCAAAGTCTCACAACAAAACACTTAAAGAGCAACTGTGTATTGTCATAACTGTGGGGAAAGTATCATGGTTTGAACTGATGCTTTGAGTGAACTTCACTGTATCAATTATCTCCTTGTGGAGACATTCCAGTTTAATTACTATGAATTGTTTCTTTCCACAGAGAGGGGTGGTGCTATGCTACAGGACGGATTGTATGGAAAAGATGTAGTGAATATAGAAATCTGCCCAACTTGCTCACCACTTTTCTCATCATAGCTTGGTTCTTAACAACCTCTTCACATAAGAGACTTGAAGTACAATGGGATTCTTGCTTTTTTCTTAAATAATTTTGTTATTTGTATAATTGAAATAATATAATAAAATTTGTTTAAAACTGCAAAAAGAAGTTTGTCCTGTGTCATTAGGAGTTGCTTTGAAGTGAGCATGGAAAAAGAACAGAGCTCAAGCCTAGCTGCATAGCTTTTCAGATCCCAGGCAAATATAATGTATTTTGCAGTTTTCAGAAGATATATTTTGGGAAACAAAACATCCTGGAAATTTAGATTAGAATTTCTTCCCTTTTAACATTCATTGTATGTGACAAAAGTTTCATTTTGAAAGATTAAAAAACCCAAACACTACTTTGGTTCTGAATCACAGTTTTAATTGTACTAAACAAAGATATTATAAGACATTAAATGGCTGTATTTTTTAAAAATACCAATTTTTATAGTATTTGATTTGTCTTCAAACTTAGTATGTATATGAGGTAGTCAAAACAACCTAATAGAATTAGATACAATGGAAGGAGGGTACTGAAAGCAATGTAAAAGTAGATTGAGGTATTTACATTCTTGCCACTTTTTCCTTTGATAACAACTTTTTGCGAGAATTTGTATTGTTTTAAAAAGCCTACAAAGTGTCTGAACAGTAGGTAAAAACAGGCATATGAAGCAATGCTTCCCAAACAATTTCCAGTCCTCATATGTACACAACATTAACCACAGAATGTAAACATACAGATTTAAATCCATTACCTTGCTAGCAGACATCTACATCAAAAGAGTTGCACAAGACAATCTGATATGGTAGACATCTTTTTCCTAACATGCCGCCAACCAGACTATCTGATGTTGGGGGACCAGTACTTTTCTGTTTTAATGTACCAGGGACCAGTACCATATTTGGACTACTGGTTGCAAGCGTTCCTTTCTTTCCTGGATACTGCTGAATCATTGCAACTGTTATTCTTATGGCACTGGTACACTAAAAAGACCAATACTTTTGAGGAGCACTGCAGTAGTGTAATAGTCTTTCTTTACACCACCACCACCTCTTTTTGGACAGGACAGCTCACCATGCCATCCAAAAATCCGAACTTGAGGGTTTCCCAGCTTTCTATGCCATGCTCTGAGGGTGCATGGAGATAGACATTAAGCAGTACCAGACACAATATCAGCAGAATATTGATCCACAATAAACATAGCTCAGGATTTAAAAGATAACTTCACAATAAATATAATAAATATCTAAAGATTACAACTGCTTGTCTGTAAACTCACATTCTTGTAGAGAAGATTTAATTAAAGAAAAATGCCCCACTTGAAATGCTTGATCCAATGCACACAAGGAAAAAATGCTAAAATTCTCTATTCTTATAATGATGTCAAACAGTCCACCAACATTTATTTTCTGAAGCATGCACAAAATGCATAAGACATCTCAACCATTAAACTGACATTTCCAAGCATTAGAAATTGCTCTTCACCTGGAAGTTGTGCATCAGCCCATAACGACAGGTATCTGCCTTTACACAGGAGGAGAAATCAAAGTTCAGTTTGCAAGCTGCTGTAGTACAGTTTGACAGCTCATGGATAATTGTATCATTTATGCTCCCGGAGGCATCTCGAACAACACAAGACCCTAGAACAAAAGAAACAGAAGTGAGCTCTTCAAACAGTAAAGCAAGGTGTCTTCGAGCTGCCCTGAATATACATCAGTAAATAAGGATCACTTCTAATAAATTACTTCCAAATGCCACATATATTTGTGTATAAATTGAGGCATTGGCCTGTTGCTGCTCCAAACTCAACAGCTGCTAATGGTAGCACCTCTATGCTCTTTTCACGTGCTCCTTTTGCCCAGGCAAAAAAAGGCCATGCCCTTAAGGCAAAAGCTTTAGCCATTCTAGAAGAAAAGAAGCACTAACTCCCTCTACCCTTTCCACTATGACACTGCTTTGGGTCTTTTTGAATGCCCGGGTGGGGAAATGGCAGGAGCTAGGACAACTGGCACTGTGAGGTGGTGCTGAGGCTTTCTTTTCACTGTGGAATGACCCTTGACTTATCAACGAATCATATAAAAATCTATAATTTTGTGTCCAAAACCTGCTCTCGAGTTACACACCAAATAGACACATACACAATCAACGTATATACAATAGCTACATATTACACAGACAAGGTGTCCTTCTCTTGAACTTTCAATAACTTAAAAAAACCCAGGTTAAATGTTTTTGAATATTTACATAAAACTAATTTAAGGTAAGACTCTGATTAAATCATTATTCTAACCTTTTTCAATGTAAATGTGCTTACATATCCTTCCAGTAATCAACATAGTTTATTTTAGCTATACATTTAGGGGGAAATGCTGTGTGTATAGGAATAAGGAAAAGTGGGAAAGACTGGCACTGAGAGAGGAGGAGGGGAAGGAGAGCTGGGTTGCTGTGCAGGGAGGTGAGGGTCCTGGCAGGAAAGCATGGGGCTGAAAGAAGCCGTTTCAGGCCCATGCCTCCTACCACGACCCTCACCCGAGTATAAGCCGAGGGGGCTTTTTCAGCACTAAGAAAGGCTGAAAAACTGGGCTTATACTCTAGTATATACAGTAAGTATGTATCAGACTGCAGCATTAAGTAAGCACTTTTACATCAGATTTGATCACCATTAAGTCACTAAAATATTTTATTCTGTCTAAAAGTTTTTCAAAAATTCATGAGCACAAATATTTTAATTTACTTAGAAGTGAGAAAAGTCTCTCTAACAAATGGATTTAGCGATGATATGCATGCAATATATTTGAACAGTGATAATTTGAAACCAGTTCCCAAAATTTGAGGTGCTTTTCTTCTTTTATCTGAAAGATCATGATTATCATCACAGCTGAGTAGACACACAGCTGAGTAGACACTCAGTAGATTCTGCTCTAATTTCTATTCTGAAAATAAAGTGTCACCCAAGACTCAAACTAATCACAATGCTGAAAAATCACCATTAGCTTTCTACATGAAATCCCTTTTCATTTGAAGACAGAAAGCATCAATGGTATTCAAGGGTGGTTAAAACACAAGAGTTTTCTGACCTTGTATATAGAGAGATTATCTATATTTGTCTTAAAGTAATTGTTAGTTGATTTTTAACTTGTACTGTTTTAAAATGTGTATTATGTATTTTAACTGCTATATAACTGAATATGTTATATGTTTCTTCATCACAGTTTCGCTGTTGAGTATGATTTTCTTTTTGCCCCAGAGAGATAAGTCAAGAGTTATTGTATTTTTCTGACTTTTAATTCTTCTCACATAAAAATCCTTATGGTGGGTTTTCTTTAAGAAGGCACTGATAGTAAAAGAATCTCATTTTTCTTTTGGCATTCCTCAAGTCTTGTGACAAACTAATCTTAAACTTTGAGCAATACAACTGCAAACTGACTTTGGTCTTCAAGAAAGATATAAAACACAAAAGTAAAGTACATAATGCACTTTAAATTGCTGATCATTTAAAGTCATAACCAACAACCATCGCTTTTTGGTTTGAAACAAGGGAAGTATAACACCGAAACCATTACTTTGCCCTTATTAATTTTAAACTAGATCAGGTCAGATCTGCAAACTAGATCATGTCAGATCTGCAAGAGAACATTTTATATGTCCAAGAAACAGCACAGGCAGCATTCAGAAATACTGGTAATCTAAGATAACTTCACATCTATTGGGGGAAACCAGTGCAATAGTTATGATATAGTACAATTCCCAGTAAGTGTCTTCATTCCTATATACATCCCCTACACATCTGCCCACTGAAGAATGTGCATAATAATCTGCCAAATGAGGCCAACAACATTGTTCTGATGAAGTGAGCTGCCTTCCATGAGAGTTCATGCCAAATAAAACTCACTGCTCCTTAAGATGCCAAAAGAACATTGTTGGTTTTAAAACCGAAAGATTTTTATTCCAGTGATGTGATTTGATCTGCAGGATCTCATGCAACCTTTCCCACAATCCAATACAATGTTAATTTTGCTTAAACCTACTGTCTGCAAACACACTTAGCTTATTGTTCTTTTAGGTCATTAAAAAAACTCTTTGCACCATACATCTCTATTCATTTAACACATTACGGATTATTAAAAACTGATTGTAGGGTTTATGATCTGAAAAACCTTATTGCAGTAGCTTTAAAATACTGTCTTGAACAGAAATTTTATTTATCCCATAAGTGCATGTAAAACTTATTTTATGGTGGACTGAACCAAGTTGGATTTACTTCCAACTGAACATGCACAGGATTGACTTATTACCCATGACAATTTATGATTAAAACCCGTGTCAGATGGAACACTGATTCTACCACAAAACTAAGATGAAAGCATGGTATTTAATGATTTTCAGGGATAGAATTAAGGCAATTCTCCTTAGCCTTTGCTGATCTGCAGATTAACTTTTTAGCAGTAATGACAAAAAGGCCTTGGGAATTACAGGATTCCAGCCATGTGACATTTAACAGCTGGGGCAGGAAGGGAGCAGAAAGGACCAACTATGCTGGCACACTAATTCATCAAGTTAATTTGCTCTCTAAAATGTAAGTGCAAAATAATGCTGTCAGTAAACCTTGAATCTTCCTATCATAAAGGTAACATATGCAACCTAAAGTGTTTTTCTGCATGCCAATATCCTAGGCTGCAGTTAAACACAAGTATTTACATTAAGGATGAAACAGAAATTCAAAAGGTAATCAAATCATTATTTAAATATTCAACATTTTAGCAGAAGGACTGTTTCTCTCCTGATGCAAAGCTGCCTTGCAGATTATAGAAAAGATCACTTATAAAGGATTTTAAATGCATTTAGCTTCACAAAACATGAAACACAGTTGCACCTACAGAGAAAGAAATGTCAAATGCCCTGCGGGAAGGGTACCTGAAGATGGAGTAATCTATATATACAAACTTTTCAGATGTGTTTTGTATTTTCTGCTACGATTGGAATGGCTACTTCTGAACCATGGCAGATAAGAGAAGAACTTTAACAAAATCATTATCATTCCACATCTATGCAATTGAGTGTCAATGAATCCAAACTAACCAACTAATAATTTACAGAGTAAAGTCAACTAAAAGAAGTTCTGCACAAAACATTGGTAAAACTCTAACAAGCCACTCTGCACTGGAGCTTGTGATACAGCTGCAGTGTAAGTAGTAGACCACCTCCAAGGAATTTATAAATTGAAGTTATTTACCTACTGATACTGCAATTCCCATGTAAACTATTGTAGTAATTAAGATGGCCAGAAGTGTTCCTTTAGGTATGGCTGATTGAGGATCCTAAAAAATAAATATATCAGTGAATTTATTGATTGAAAGGAGATTCAAACTGACCAAGTAACAGAATAAGGAAAAGCTACTCACCGCAAGATCACCTGAGATATTTGCACCTGCCAAAATGCCTGTTGCAGCTGGGAAAAATATAGCAAATACTGAAAAGAATGTTTCATCACCTCGGAAATCTGGACCAAAATTCTCAGAAAATATTTCAGCTGTAGAAAGAAACAGTTTTTTAAAGAAAAGAATTTGAGTACAAGCAGTCCCAAAATTACAAACACTGGACTTACAAAAAACTCATAGTTAAGAACATGGGTAAGACAACAGGAAGTGAGAAAATGTGCCCGCAGGAAGGGAAATTCACTCCCAGAAGAGTAATTATGGGGAGAAAGTGTCTCAACTGAAGCTTTAGCACCAATACTTATTTCCACAACAAGCCAAATTTTTCAGAATCCAATCATGACAGGGACAAAACGTCAGGTGAAATCATCTGAACAGGGGCACAAATAGCAAAACAAACACCACACTAGTGTAAATAAGGCATGGGCAAACTTCCACCCTCTAAGTGTTTTGGACTTCAACTCCCACAATTCCTAACAGCTGGTTGTGGAAGACCAAAAAACCTGGAGGGCTGAAGTTTGCCCATGCATGGTGTAAATCCTCCCCTATGCTATCCAAAGCTCTTTATTTATTTATTTTGTCTGGAGTTTACACTTTAAAAAGCACCTTTTCTAAGTAACATACAAATTCAACACAAGAACAAATCTACAGAACATTCGTAACTTGAGTACCTATATTCTACCATGTCCTCAATATCTGCTTCATTTAAACTGCTATAAATAAAATTAGAGGAAGTCAACTTAGACCAAGATCAATATATACATTTAGAATGGGGTTTTGGTTTTGTTTTCCAACTATTTAGGAATCAACTCTCCAGCAGCACAAGGGTAATGCATGCCCTTACTTGCTCTAATCTTTCTCTGATTACAAATTGTAACTTAAACACGTTAACTAAATCAGAATAATTACAGATTTGCCAAAACAGAGTTAGTGTATGGCAATTTCTCTGTAATAAATAGATCATAATTGTTTTCCCCTCCAAAAAAAATGATTTGTTCAAATAATATAAAATCGGATACAGAAGACCTCTGGATGGACACAAACTGACTTGCAAATTTAAAACTGAAGGCATTGCTAATTTCATGTATGTCCCGTGGCAACTGCTAGGGGACTCTAACTAGTTCATTTTGTCTTTGCCCATATGTTGCAGCCCCTAGGCCAGTGCTTCTTAGGCTATCTTATGTGGGCAACTACAGGTTTTCCCACATTTGCCAGGGGCCAGTATACACCCCATATACTCATAGGTAAGTCTAGAAATTTTAGTCAAAATACCCAGCCCCAAACCCCAGTCGGCTTATCTACTGGTCAATGTGAATTCTGCACTGACTATTCTCTTCACCATGGCACCGCTTCTGACCTTTTTAAACACCTGGGTAGGGAAATTGTGGTAGCACCCTCTGAGGCAGCACTCGTGCTTTCCCCTTTCTTTGGAATTACCGTCAATGCTTTATAAATCATATCACAATCCATAATTCTGGCCCCCACATCTACCCTCATCTTAATACATGAGATCAACTTATACATGATTTGTGAGCATGGCCATTCCTTTCTTTTCTGAAAACTCTCCAGTGACTAGAAAATGATGACTTGTGCCCCATTGTGTCCATGAGTCCCACTTTGACTAATACTGCTCTAGATCAACACCTTAATACCTCAAAAAGAATATATGAAAAGATGTTATTTTCATTCCCATTATACCAGCTGCCAGCACACCCAGTTCCTTCCAGGTAGTTGCATTTATGTTTCATCATGTGCAGACAGTTCATTCTCAACTTAAGACTTTAGACTACTGGCAACAAGTGAAGCAGCAGATCATTCTCCACTTTCTTTTGCATCTGGCTAGTAGGCAAGTAAGCAGCAGGTGGGAAATCAGATTGGCTGCCTCAAAAGTTTTAGTAGAAAATTAAAGTACAAGAGAGACAAAGTGTGGATACATTACATGCCCATATTATGAGCAGCCACAACATGTGAGGCTAGATGAAGTGTTTACTGCTTACATGGGATGCACAAAGTAGCATGCATCATAACCTTTTTTTTCTCTTTTAGACATTTTTTTTAAAATTAATCATCTCCTTAAACAAAATGGTTTTGAAAAAAATGTTCCAGTTCCATATGCATTTAAACCAGGGAGGTCACAAAACAGCATGGAGGATTTCCACTGCATCATTTTCCCCCCAGCTGTTAACTTCATTAGGCTCAGTTATAGACTGTATTTGCAAGCAACTAAATTCTGGCTTGATGAGGGAAAGGTAGCATGTACCACTATTCTCTGCTGTGATGTTACATATGAGTAAGATGACTTGTCTCCCCCTCAATATGCCAGAAAAGAACATATGGTTTGTTTAAATGATATATGTTTTGTTGGTAATAAGGCAAATTATGGATTGTGGTATCTGAATCTGAAAATATTGGATGGATGGTTTAGGATGTATTGAATTACTCTCATTTGGAGACAAATCAATTGGGTAGCATACCTGAGGACACTGTGTACAAGGAGATATAATTCAACATAATTCTCATTTCTTACTGTGTATAGTTTAAGGCTATAGTCTTCATTTCTGAAACACAGGGTAAAATGTACACACATGCACAAGTGGATGGCGAGAGTAAAAAATGCTACAGAAAGGTTGTGCATTTTAAAAACATAAAGCTCAAGTTAATAGGTTAGGTTTGTGAACCAGATAATCAAAACTATAAGGTGCAACAGGGTTTCCTTGGCTTCTCATCCTTTCTACAGCCCATCTCTGAGTCTTTCTATTTGTGCAAGGCACCGCCTCTTTTGAAATTCGCATTGATTTCAACTTGCACTCAGCTCAAATCACACAGAATAAAGTTAGCTGTGCATAAGCTACACTGACAGATGAAACTACATTCTAAAAGTATGTCACATGATTACATATTGAAATATGACTTGAACCAAATTCTTAATCATTGACATCAAGACATTGTTTTGATTAGAAATATGTTACAACTAAAGTTAAAGTAGTTCTGGGTAAGAAGGAAAGGTGAGAAAAGCAAACATTTTGTGTCTATGAAGTAAATGACAGGGCTAATACCAATTTAAGTATAATGCAAAAGGAAAAGACAAACACTGGAGCAGCGTTTTAAGTGTATTTGTTTTGCTAACTATCCTTTACCTTTGTAGCCAAAAAAGCCTTTAGCCTTCTTACTCTCAAATGGAATAAATGATCCTATGATGAAGTCAGCAATGGCTATTAGCAGGATTACCAGCAGAACAATCTGTGCCTGTAATATGAGAAGTGAATGGCATCAATTCAATCAATTTCTCTCCAAGTTAAAAATCTTCAGCCCTAGGTTTGAGTATGCTGGTCAACTACATCAAGCAAAATCATCCAATAAGGTAATGGAATAGGCGGCATCCTCCATCCAACCCCCAGTCTTGCAGTAATTTCAATCTAGCAAAATAAGAAAACCTTTTTGAGAGGCTACCTGCTGTAATATGCCTAAATGAACACTGCTTAGTGAATAGAGTACTGGTGTAAGGCCAGGTAGATTCAGATTCAAAACTCTTACTGGTATCATAGAGCTCATTAAATGGACCAGTCAGACTTAACCAATCAGAAGGTCATTATGAGAATAACACAGAAAGAAAGAAAATGTGCACATTATTATGAACTCTTTGGAGTGGAATATAGTGTGGAAGAACTAACAGACATAAAATGTGCGAGACATTTTAAATTACTGTTCTTTCATGTCAATCTTCAATTTCTGAACTAGAATAAGAAGACATAATCAAAGATCATCAAGTCATTTAAAAAAATACTTGATAACATTTTTGGCAAATATTTGATTGGAGGATTAGCCAAATCTTAAAGCAATCAGATTTCATTCACTTATTTCAGAGATAAAGCTTCAAGAAATACAGGAAGGTTTAATCCTATATTTATTTATTTTTGTATACACTCAATCCTCCCTATTTATGGATTTGATGATTTGATGATAATTTGTGGATTTCATTAATATGTTATATCTAGGAATCTTTAGGTTCTCTCGATAAACTTTATGCCTGGAAATTTCTACAGGTATTCTGCCATGGGCATTTTTTATTTGTGACATTTCCACTTTCACGGGAAGAGTGCTTGAGCCTCTAACCCCAGTAAAAGTGAAGGGTCTACTATAAAGATAGGGAGAGTAATTTGCTTATACCATATTTACTTCTATTGCCCTTCACCTCACTCAATCTAAATTATACTCTTCTTCTCAATCACACTGAATCTACATTGCAGCTTTCCCATTTAAATTTCACCTGCAGATTCCCTCAAATAGTTCTGATTTACATAACATTCAAGTTCTGAAGACAAAACAGCTTTGGGTTTCTAAAAATGTAAATGTCACACAGGGATTGCTGGAAACTGCCTCAGTGTGGCAGCTGTTCTACATGTATTTAGATCAATTCAAAGCATAATCTCTCTTCACTGACCACTGACAGCAATCAAGTTTCAGTCTATAATTCCTGTGGCCATGGCACTTTGTCTGTTAACTGTGCTAGAAATTGTATCTCAACATGGAAGAACTTTTTAATATGACATTGCAAAAGTAGGCCATAATAAAAAACTAAGTTCAGAGCAAAGCAATGGCCATCTTTTTGCTAATGCGTACTAGCATAAACTACAAGAAAATTAATCTCAATTAGACAGAAAATGTTTAAAAAATTACATTAACTTTCATAACTTGGCTTTAAAATTACATTTTTGGAAATATGTGACCATTAAATGATATAAATTAGAAATTGACAATTGTTAAGTGAAATGATGAATTTTGGAAGTGAATATGATTATATCTTTCCATGCCCTGAGTAAAGAAAAAAAATGATCGCAATGCAAAGGAAATCTACAGATTCATTATCCAGATTTCAAGCAGAGTCAACAAAATGACTAAGCGTATGCAAGATGTTACCTTCCTTAACATTAACATTCTCATTTACACAAAATGGGTGTGTAAATTCTGCACCAACACAAAGTAGTTACTGTGCAAAATCTTTGAACATTGCATACAAAAATCAACTCAATTGTTTATTCAATAGCCCTAACTTGCTTTAGGGCTTATCTTTCTTCTTTCAAAGCAGCATATTTATTGCCAATTTGTACCAGCTGGCTGAGTTGAATATATAATCTCCTTTTCTTGGCACACATTTCTCAAAATTGTTCACAAAACTACTGCATGTTCGGGACACTTATCCGAACTTGCTGCAGGGCCAGAAAAGTCAGATATTTGACAAATTCCTTTTAAAATGCTCACCAGGGCAGGCAATGTCAAACAGCATCTACACAACATATCCTGACCTCAGGTCCAGTTATTTCAAGAATGTTCCAGAGCCAGAAGTCTGAATATTAATATACTGATTCCAACGTATATTCTTTCAATATTTCCTTATGATCTAGAATGATTTTTTTTAAAAGATCATAGCTGATCAGTGCTCCAAAGCTTCAAATGTTTAGTGTTACTTACTTTTGCTTCCCATTCCATTCCTGCTACAGATATGCCCAACAAAATAACAATTGTAATTGCTCCTATAATTCTGATGTCATTCATGGGATCCAACATAAGAACTTCATGTTCCTGTCAAAAAAATTGAAGCATTAGGTTTGACAAGATTTAGAAAACAAAAACATATGAAACAAAGTAAATGTCTGTAAAAATCATGTGTGAAGACTGAAAATGTTCTTTTAGTGGCTCTAGTGATTTCTGGAGGATATGGTATGCATGTGATTTTCTTGAGTAGTATAAGCCTTGTATCCAGTGCTCTATAGGCATTTCCTAGGTTCCCCAGTAAGACACTATGATATACTTCGAAACAAACATTGATGTTGTTCTGGAGGACCTAGCAATGTCTAGAGGTTTGTCCTCTCTGGACATTTCCTAGGTTCTCCAGTGCAACTCTGTGAAATTTGTTCATTCAATAGGGTTTGCTATTATCTATGATTTTGCCTAACTATGGTAAGTCTGGGAACATATCCCCTGGCACGTTTGATATAGGATTGTGTTAAACTTCACAATTGCAAAATATTTGATTTAACAGCATCTTTCCTCTGCAATTCAGTTTTCTTCTAGTCCCATAAAGTATGGTACGCAGAGACTCAAAGGGCCCCAAATCAACACATTGTGAATATGAAGGCCCTGACATGATTGATCCTGTCCAATTCACATACTTGTATTTCCCTTCGTAATATTCACTCAGGCTATTTTTAAAACCCTCTACTAGTACCCATGATGGCATTATTCAAAACCTCATTGGAGCAGGAGAGAGGAGATTCAGGGGGATGTGCGTGATGCACCAGGAAAGGAAAGATCAGCTTTCCTCTGCCAGTAGCAACCATTATAATAGCAATGAAGTTTTTTTTAAAAGCCTCTTCTGACACAAACAGGGGATGTTTCAAAGCTTTACTGCAGTTTCAGGAAGACACACACCTCTTAAGTTTTAAGGTTAGAACTTCCCTCCCCTTTTCAACAGTGTCCACTCTCAACTAGGAAAGCCTTGTTTGTTCATTATTCTTCCTGCTTCCATTGGAATACTTCAGCACCATGCCATTTGCATCCCTTTTCATGGTTTGCTATGCCAGGAATGACACTAAACTTTCATAGGCTCAAGTAAGTTCTTTTGACTGTCCTCAAAGTTAAATGAAACCAAGCCACGATTGTTTGATCTCCAACTGGTCCCAACAAGTATTTTGCTTGCCAAGTGCAGTTCTCATAGCACCAAATCCAAGGTCATTTACATGTCCCTCTTTTAAAAAGCGAAAACAAGCAATGAGTCATTCAGTAATATAGATTTTCCATCGCCCATCTGCAGTGAGTTCGACAGTTGTTATAGATCAGTCTGATCTATAGAGGTACTGCAAGAATGCAATTGTGAAATTCAGATTGTGAAATGCAATGTCAGCAAGAAACAAACTAGAGTAATTAACTTACCTTAAGTAGTTCTACAACTGTCTCTGCAAAACCAACTACATACATGGCTACAGCTACAGCATTAGCAAAGGCAAAGATCAGCCCAATTGCACCGCCAAATTCTGGGCCCAGGCTTCTGGAAATTAGGTAATATGCTCCTCCTGAAGAGAAAAAGAAGAACTTAAGCATGTTTCAAAACTGCAGTAACCAAGCTTTGGTAAGTAAAGCAATACTGTGTCCATACACACACTGAGCTTACATTCTACAAGCACAGATGCATATGCCTTATTGACATTACAGGAGCAGACATCTATAATAACCAACAGCAACCACAAGGTAAGGTGATATGAATAAGGTCTGTAAACAAGTGGGAAGAGGAACCAAGTTCTTTTTTATTCATTGCTCATTTGACTTGTGGCAGGGATGTGCCAAGTGTGGCCTAGAGGCCACATATGGCCATCAAAATTGTTCTTGTAACTTTCAAACAGATCTCAAAACTGCTTTTTTGAGGATAAATTAAGTGGTTGTCCTAGCTTCCACTTTGTACTTTTGACATGAAAATGATTTCAGTGGTACTGAAACTTACTTCATGTGATGAACACAAATTCAAAGAAAAGAAAAAAAAGGGGGGGGGGAAGAATTTCTCTTATTCTTTTTTTGTCATACTATGAAATCATAAACACTACTTGCACATGCTATAATCTAATTAAAGATCACCAGGAGTCTGGCTATAATATGGAGGCAAAACAACAAACTGACCTAGATGCATACTTTAAAAACCACCTGCAGACCTGATGAGAAAATTAGAGCAAAAATGGTGAAACATCTTAAGAAAATTCTGACCTATCCAAGCTGTCAGTGATTGTAACAGGTACATCACTGGAATACAAGACCATTAGAGAAAGGGGAGCGTTTCTACATATAAATGCTTAGCAATTGAGCTCCTCGTGGCTCAACCTTAGAGGATGGCCATCCATCACTTTGTATATCCATATTCTATTATTGCAAACTTGGAGTATCTTTTATTTACTGTGTCTGAAGAAAGGAGAAGTAGAATCACCGTAACAGAGCTGACAAATAATATTTTTCCAAAAGCAACACCATGCTATATATTATGAGCATGCACAATATTGTTGCAAAACATTGCACAAATGGTAGGTATAATTATTGGCTACATTTGGGGACTTGCAAACAGAGAAGTATTAATTAAATCAATTTTACCTCCTCTTACGAAGCCATTGGTAGCTATTGCTGATGTAGATAAGCCTGTGATCGTAGTTACAACAGTAGCCATGGCAATGACCAAAACTGCAAGTCCTGTAAGAAGATGATTGTTCAAATAATTAATTATAGGAATTGTAATTTCCCTAAAACATTTTCCTGATTAATAAACACTTTCTTCAATATATCCATATAACAGAAACGTCTTAAACTGAAGGCATGAACAAGCTTACTTCACCATTGTATCAAATACATATGTAAAAGGCATTAGTTCTTGGTTCTAAAAGTGAATTTGTTCAAGCATGAATTTGAACTCTTTTTAGGCAAAGCAGGTGCCTCCATTTTTGTGATACTGCATTCAATTCTCATTTCTAGCAATAGAAGAGAAGAATTGCTGGCTGCTGACTTAATGCTCTGAAAATTAAAGAAAACAGGACTCATCTTATGTACTGCTTTCCTCCATACTCTACTACTAAAAAATGAAGAAGCAAGAAATGGATTTTGTGCTTGAAAGATACGGAAGAGGCATACACTGAACTTCTAAAGTGGAAATGACAGGCTTTTTGAGAATGCCACAGATACTCAACAAGATATCATCTTATATCATTCTGCCCCCTCTCCCAGTTGTTACAAACCAGAAAGCACAAGGCTGACAGCAGCTCTCAAGAAGTAAAGTATCCAGAGATATTTTATTGGAGATACACTTACCTATGCCAGCATGTCCTACAATCCAGGACAGTCGAATGAAGAGCATCACACCCCAGATATTCAACATACATCGTACCTGGAACACCATAAGAGCAATATATATATATTATGCTCTCCTATTATTTGATATAGCTAAAAAAATTTAAACCCCTGCAGTAGTTTGACTAAGTCCAGGAGATCAGGGTTCAAATCCCTGCTCAGTGATGGAAACCCACTGCCTAAGAAGATGGATATGGCAAACTTCCTCTGAATACATCTTGCAAAAAAACAAACAAAAAACCTCTCTCTATGATAGGGCCATAGTAAGTCAACATGAAAGCGAAACACAACTAATGAATTAAAAATCCTACTGGTTAGTCACAATTAAATTGTGTGTATGCATGTGCCTTCAATCAAGTTACCTACTCACTTATGGCAACTCCACAAATTTTACTGTTTTCTCTTCAGCAAGGAATACCCATAACTAGTTTTGCCAGTTCCTTCTTCTGAAATATAGATTGGTACTCTCCAATCCAAGCAATAACCAGAGCTTATTTTCCACAATCAAACAGAATCTGGTGACTTTAGGTTATTTTAAAAAAGGTAAAGGTTTCCCCTGACATGAAGTCTAGTTGTGTCCGACACTGGGGGGTAGTGATCATCTCCATTTCTAAGCTTCCAAGGTCATGTGAAAAGCATGACTACAAGGAGTACCGTTAACTTCCCACAGAAACAGTACCTATTGATCTACTCAAATTTGCATGTTTTTGGACTGCTAGGTTGGCAGAAGCTGGGCCTAACAGTAGGAGCTCACCTCACTCCCCAGATTCGAACTGCTGGCCTTTTGGTCAGCAAGTTCCGCAGCTCAGTGGTTTAACCCACTGAGCCAGCAGGGGGCTTAGGGTATTAAGGCCCCCTCAGTTAAAAGCAAACACATTCAACCAATAAATGGTGCAGCAATACATACAATTACTCAATGATTTCAATAGATCTATTCTAATCAGGACTAAAACAGAATTTAGGACACAATGTTTAAAAATCAAATTCACAGGGCAACTTCAGAAGTTTGCCACAGGGGCAACCAGAGGTCAAGTTTTCAACTAGATTTCCCAAGTAGTTTTGCAGGTGTGACCCACCCAAGTCAAACAGTGCATCAGACATGCACTTTGACATGTCTGATTCATTCTAACCTACAGTTTTCAGCTGGTAGCAGTGAGTAAACAAGTTTCTTCTTCCATAAACACACAATCAGTTGAATTATTAAAACATGATGAATGATAAAATGGGCAGGCTTTTTAAAATAAATTTCTTTTAACTACACTTATGGAAGCACCAAGATTGTGGCACAGCTGGCTGAGTGTCAGCTGCATTAAGATCACTCTGACCAAAAGGTCATGAGTTCGAAGCCAGCCTGGGTTGGAATGGGTTTCCAACTAATTGTGTAGCCTGTTGTCGACCTTTGCAACCCGAAAGACAGTTGCATCTGTCAAGTAGAAAAATTAGGTACCACCTTAAAGTGTGGGGAGGTTAAATTAACTAATTTATGAGGCCATAAAAAAAGACTCCAGCAAGCACTCCAGCAAAAAGCATGAGGGGAATGCGGAAGTACTTCATCAGTGTCGCAGATGGACAATGAAAGCGACAGCTCCCCTGGTGGCCAGGAAAAGTTAAATAGCCTCTGTTTATGTCTGTATATGTTGTATGTCAAAATTGGCATTGAATGTTTGCCATATATGTGTACACTGTAATCCGCCCTGAGTCCCCTGCGGGGTGAGAAGGGCGGAATTTAAAAGCGGTAAATAAATAAATAAATAATAAGCCACTAAAATACAATATGTATTAGAATTCTGTTTTATCTAAAAACATGTGATCACAATACTGTTATGAGTTGAAGATGTTTCTGTTTCACATAGAAAAACGGTAATAGATATATTTGGGTTAAAAAAAACTTCATATACAAAAAGAGGACTCTTCTTATTTAAGAGTGATACACAGTTTTCCCATAACCTACTAAGTTAATATATTATTTTGATGCTAGTCATTTTCTAGACTGTTTCTTCCACATAAACTGGTTTTTAATCCTCCATTCATCCATGTTAGACATATTGTTTGTAGTTTTACTAGAGAAAAATTCAAAATGTGCTCACTGAAATAACACCGAAAACTAAATTATCTCTTAAATACAATATAAAACCTACAAAGCAGAATATTCTATTGTTTTCTCAAAAAAGAAGAAAAAATGATAAAGCTGTATCATTCATTTTGAGTGATCAAAAGCAAAAAATCCAGTAAGTTACCAATCTTCCCTACTCCCTCCTGTCCCCCCAAAGGCAACAATGCATATAAAACTCTAAAATCTTACTCACTCATTAGTTGAAAAAGTGGCATATAGATCGATGTTTCATAAAACATCTGTTTTGCACGTTGTCTCAATAAGTCATTAGATCAGTTCCAAATAATCCTTTGAGCCAACACATTTCTCTCCCCAAACACTCAAAAGCAAATTAATTTGCTTTAAATTCACTTGCTAAATTATTTTAAATTAATTTAATTAGAATTTCTAATTAAAATTCTAAATTACTCTGGTTACTGCATCTGTATGTGATAAAGACAGTTTGTGCATCATTTTGCTCTGATAAGCCATGATTAACAGGATTGGATACAAATCTCATAACTGTATATTTCCTGCTCCCTTTTAATGTCCAAGCTTCAAGCAAAACCTTTGTTTTCTTTATTATAAATTCTTTTAAAACCCAAACTAGAAAACTGGTTTATAGTTAGTGCTTCAAATACCAGTGAGCAAAGTAGAACTCTAGGAGCACTAGCAACCCAACAAGTTTTTTTTCTTTGCTTTCTCCTCTAAACTCTCACAACTTCAGTTTTTTCGACTCCCCCAAGTAGCAATTCACCTTTCACTTAGGTTGTACACCCCACCCTGGATAAAAAATGGACACCAAACCTGTCACAATGGGCAATTCTTGGTTTAAATCACAGTTAAGCAGTTTAAACATTTAAGACACAACTGAAAATAGACCTTGATTGTGCTTCTCCATAGTATTCATACTTTTTAAAAACCAGTTTGTTTGTTTGTTTTTCAAATCAATGCTCAGTGACATATTGGAAGGAGCCATCTATCGCTCTCGCTCTCTCCCGTCCATATCTTCAACAAAAAATCAAACTAGAAGGGAAATTGTGAATTATTTGGAAAGGAGAATAATTACTGAAGTTATACTCACCAATACACCTTTAATCCAACCAAATTTGACAATCCCTTTACTATCAGCGGCGTAAGGGGCAGTAGCTTCTCCAGTGGGAGTTCCTTCTTCTCCATTTGCAAATCCATCCTCAAATGGTTCCTGTAGCACAGGGACAATCAAAGGGATGAGATACTGAGTTTAGAGTAACAGCCTATATAAACTTACTATAAATTGCCCCTGATGAAAACAGTGCTGATATTACAACAAGCTGAAGGAACAGAACTATTGCCCATCTTAGCTAAAGCAATAAGATTTGTCATGTTAGCCTGCCCTTAGACTATAGAGACAGAATGAAGTGGATGAATTAATGTCAGAAGACTTTTCAGAAGCCTATAGAAAGTCAGCTCCCCTTGTACATTTGTTAGACTAGATGTTAAGTAGGAACAGTCCAACATGAAGATAAAGGTGAAATGAACCAGAAACAATGCACTCTTTTGAAGGATCATTGGACGCTATCAGAAGGTCTCTGAGAAAAGAAGCATAATCTCGGTCCCACACACACAATCTGCATACTTAAATTTAAAGCTGAATTAGCAAAATATAACAACAGTATTGCATAGAACAAATGAGCACTTAAAAAAAAATTACAAAGTTCTATATTTCTGCCCAGTGTGGAAAGTTACTGCGGCAATGCTAAGCACTGCCATGAAGTTAAAGTGGCCAATTTCTCTCATAATAGACTGTGTTCCATAAATGCAGCCATGGGCATCAATCCTAGTCTGAGATGCTTCAACACAAAAGGAGGCAGAATTTCTTAATAGATTTTATTATTTTTTTAAAACAGCAACAGATCATTACACCCTTGTTACATGGGTTTTACAAATTAACAGAATACAATGGAAAGCAAAAACTCTCTTTATGACGTGTGCCAAATTTTAAAGTAACTGAACATTATACTAATTGGTGATTTATCTCTGTTAGCCCATTTCCTTATTAATAACTTACTACAAAGACGAAGCAGTTAAATTGTTCTTCAGTTCCAAATCCCCTATAAAGAAGGTTGGTTGGCTGAATGATTCAGCTGTTGTTACATATGCTTATCCAATTTATAAACCCAGGCTTCAGCTTTTCACTATGTAACACAATTTTTGTTCCAGAATTATAAATGTTATTTCCTAATTGGTTGTATCATAAAAACATGGAAAAAGTGTATTAAACTGTAAAAACTTTGTTCTTGCAGGATATCCTTCAGCATATTTTGCTATGGTTATTCAATGGATATCTCATTGAGTCTCAACCAATTCAATAGTTTGTGGCAGCCATAAAAATGAAGTTTCTGTAGTATAACAACTTTCAAAGTACAGTAAGTACCACAAAAATTAACATGAATAATACTTTCAAATGAGGAACAGAAAATATTTCAAATTTTGTTGCTTATTTTCTTCAAGGGTTTCCTAACTATATCCCCAGTTAAAGTCTATATTGCAACTATTTTAGAACCATCATTACAGTAACTGCAGATACTGATATCAAATTAGAGATCTATATATACCTGGGGCAATAAGCATCAACAGTTATTACTACTACTTAACAAGAAAGTACTGGAGAAAATGGTAAATTTAGATAGTTCTAGAGAAAAGTAGTCTGCCAAAATTCCATAATATATATTCATATATTTCTAGGGAGAGACATACCCTGGTGTCATTGGATTGTCACACACTTATATGCAATTTTTGATTCAAACGGCAATCCTGCACAAAGCTATTCAGAAGCTCAATTGAGCGCAGAAGAATTTACTGCTGAAATGCCTAGAACTTCACTGTAACCTAATAGTGTGCTGCACAAACCTTGAAATCTATTCTTAAGAAAAATGAATATAAAGGCCTGCTGAAATCATCTGTAATTCAGCCATGGTGGGATGCTCTGGGTCTCAGAGCACCATCCTACCATTCTCATTTGTGGATGGCTTCAACATCATACTGAAATGTTTTATTATGATACATAATATGCAGTTCTGCATACTATTCTGGTGTAAGTATTTGGCTTATTTATAAAACAACAGTGTGTGCGCACATTCAAAGATATTTATCAGCTCTCTTATCAGAAATTTATCATGGGGAAACATGAATAAAAGATAACATGCATAATTCTGTACGTATTTCCTTTTTCTGACAAGGAACCCCTTTATATAAAAAAGTTATTGGAGCAAGTAGCAACTGGATGCTTGAAAGCAGTATTCAAAATGAAAACACTAAAGCACTATGTATTATTTGTGGGTGTGGAAAATTCCACAATGATTACACAACTGATACACTACTTTCGGCAAATTACTGACATTATGTTTTATAGCAGATACAAGAATTTTTCATGAAGACTATTACTGAATATAATGGTAGAGGCTACCCTTACTTTTTTTATTTTAAGTACCAATCCATTTGTGAAATGACTCTCCATCCCAATGTTTTCTTTACATGTGTCAATCAAAAACTTACATGAACTATAGGCTGTCCTATCCTAACTATGTATAAAACAAAGAGACTTAGGAAAGACGCCCTATTATGGACTAAAAACTCACAGGTTACTTAATTCGATTCATATTTTTGATGTGGGTCTTCAAATTGTTTCTGATGTATAACAACCCTAAAACAGGCCTATTCAGGGGTTTTCTTGGTAAGATTTGTTCAAAGGTTTCGCAATGCCTTCCTCTGAGGTAAAAAGAGTGTGACTTGTCCAAGATCACCCAGTGGGTTTCCATGGTGAAGCAGGAGATTTGAAACTCTGGTTTCCACAATACCCAAACCACTATGCCATGCTGGCTGTTATTAAAAGCAGCAGATGCATTATGATATTCGAAACTAAGCAGGGTCAGCCCTGATTAGGATCTGGATGAAAGACCACCATTCAGGTCCTAATGTTGTAGGTTCTATTTCAGAGCAAGGGGAAAACCCACCTCCAAATGTTTATTGCTTTAAAAAATCCAATGAAGTTGATGGAGTTGTCAGAAGTAAATGGGTAACTTGAAGGCACAAATGCACACATTTCTTCCATTGACATTATGAAAGCCAATCTAAAAGAAAAGTTAATTACATTGCTTGAGAATGTCGAAATGTGCTCTTCACTGGTGGGTGAAATCAATACTTTTCTCCACCAGTGATACCATGGAGGGCAGTAGCCACCACAGCAGTGATAATGTGAAAGATCACCACTGTGATCACTAAATCAAACTGTCTCCAAATGGAAAACTGTTTGCAAAATCAAAAAAAAAAAAAAAAGAAAAAAGAAAAAAAAGAGCCAAACTTATTCAAGTGTTTTAAAATTCATCACATTAATGTCAGTATTGCAGACTGTAATCGTGTTATAAATGGCCTAACATAGGGTACCACTTACTGATTTCTACTTTATTAACTTACAAGTTATAGGTAATGAGCAGGATCTAAATTTAGTCATACTGAAGAGTAACTAATTTGGGCTCAAGTTAATTAAGACTTAAGTTTCATTGATTTCCATGGGGTCCACTCTAAATATGTCTAAATATGGAAACAACTCAATATATTTCTTGGTTATTATGTTACAGAACCTTTTCATGATTACCAGAGTGTTAATGATGGGCCACCCACACAACAAATGCTATGCAGGAAAATTCAACTAATAAAAATATGTCCTGATGCTTAGCAGTTTCTTATTTAAACTGGAACACAATCAAGATGCTGTGCAATAGATACTGAAGCTAAGAGTTCATGTGAAGCCTGGCTTTTTCTGCATCTGTCTATTAGTAACAATTATTTGTGTGTGCAGACGTTCCAAATTGTCTGTTAACTTGCAGTAACCCCATGAATTTCATAGGTTTTTTTATGGCACAGAGTACTCAAGAGCTGGTTTTGCCAGTTCATTCCTCTGAAATACAGCTTACAGTACCTGCCTTACAATATACAAAGAATACATGTTTTCATTATTAAAATGCTTCATAACTTATAATAGGTTAATTCAAACAGATAAATCAATATGTGCCCATGTCCAAAGTTCTCCTCTAATCCTAGTTCTTCTTTGCAATCCATATTGTTGTTTCTAGTGTATGCCTTCAAGTTGTTTCCTACCTATGGTTACTCAGTTTAAGGTGAAGCTATTACAGGGTTGGCTTGGCAAGATTTATTCAAAAGAGGTTTGTCATTCATCTAAGCCTGAGAGAGTGTGACATGCCCAAGGTATTCCATTAAGTTTCATGAGCAAACGGGGATTCAAACCATGGTCTCCAGTTGTAATCCAGTACTTAAACCACTATACCATGGCGCCTCATATACATCTGAAAAAAATTAAGAATCACACTGAAATTGTGTCTTGGTACAAAAGGATTACAAACCATTCAGCACACTAAAACAAGAGAAAAACTCAAAGTCAGTGAATGGATCTTCTGTTACCAGGCACACAAGGCTTGTAAGTATAATAGCAACAGCATTTCTGGCAGGAGAATTGAATGTTTTTGTGCAGCCATGTTCAACTATCAAGCCATTAGATTACTATTTAGAAAACCTTCACATGAGAAGCCTTTAAACAGGCATTATATGCACATGTCAGTTTTAAAATATCAGGGCCACTGAGATAAAACATATGAAGACAATAAAGTTTATATTAATTCCTGAAAATTGAGTGGAAACAGGTACTATATGCAATGTATTGCACTATTACGTTTTTTTTAATGTTATTTTTGAGGTCCGACACACATTCTCTCACTCTCAGGAACAATATATTTTCCTATGCATGGAGGTGCTATATGGTTTGTTGCACACAAGGAACGATATCTTCCCATAAACAGATGCTTCACTGGTTACTTTCCTTGACTACAAATCAGATCACTGAGTAAGATTTTATTAACCTAAAAGTTAACATCTCTGCACTGACCTTATCTTAATCATACCATACTCGCACATAGATTTTGAAGGTTTCTCAAATAACGTAAGTACCACTATACCAAGCATTTCGCTACCATCTCATGAAACATTCTCCCAACTCCTGTAGAAGTACAGGTTACGCATACTTATAAGATCATACTTAAAACCACACTGAAATCAAATAGAGGAGCTGTGAGCAAAAAGAATTTGAAAAATCATGACTTCTCCCTTTGGGGAAAAATATGGGAGAGGGTTTATGTTTAACAAGAAAGG